CTTTATTTAGGATTCCAGCCATGGCGTCTCCAAGCGCGAAGAGACCCCGGCTGGACCTCAAGAGAGCGCCGCTTCACGACATGGGAGTGTTAGGGCTCAGGGTTTAGGAATAGGGGTTGGGATTTTGGATTTGTCTGTTAGGTTTTAAGTACTAGGCTTGTAAGATTTAGTCGTTTGTTCTAGCGTTGTTGGTTCAGGCTTCAAGGTTTTCAGGGTTTGGGGTCTGGGGTTTGCGACTCAAGGTTCTCTCGCTGCTAGGCCCTAACTAGAATCTTCAACCTGCAGTAGTAGGCTCGACGATTCAGACCTTTAAAAGTATTCCCTAGCGTGGATTTGAACAATACCTAGAGTCTCCAATGTAGTTCTTTTTTTGGTGAACCAGTTTTATGGTTAGGACCCTATAATAGAGATTTTGGTTAACCAAAAAAAGGAACTACAATGGAGACTATAGGCAATAGAGGCTTAATTCAAGCCCTAACTCCAAACTAAGCTCTGAACCCCAAACTGTAAACCCCGAAACCACCAACTCCAAACTGCAAACCCTAAACTCCGACCTCTAAGCTTTGTCATAGTTGGGCAACATTTTTTTTAAAAAATTAAGGGTACTTAAACCCAATACGGAATCAAAACGTAAATTTTTTAATCCTATCCCAACCATGAACTAATAAGCCCCTAAACCACCAACTCCAAACTCCAAGCCCCTCTACTCCCCGAACCCCCAAGCCACTACAAGAGCATCCCGCGTGCTGAGCTTGTACTCCAAACGAGCAGTTTCCCAACCCAGTATTAACCAATCTCCCTAAAGCCCAAACCCTACACCCTAAACCCTAAACTCCTAAACTCCCAGCCGTAAGCTCCGGACCTCCAAAACCGAGGCCCGATTCCTCCGCCGGGGACGCGGGCTGGAGGCTCTGGGCCGAGACCTGGGCCCACTGGGACCCCAACGAAGCCACGAAGGCCCTTGCGGGGAGGCTCTTGGGTTTTTGAGGCTTAGGGTTTAGGCCTAGGGTTTAGGGTTTAGGCTTTAGGGTTTGGGAGGAGGCTCTTGGGTATTTACAGGGTTTTTTAGGGTTCCTTTAACGGGGTATAGGGGTCTATGGTATAGGGGCCTTCATAGTATAATGGACCCCAACGAAGCCACGAAGGCCCTTGCGGGGAGGCTCTTGGGTTTTAAGGCTTAGGGTTTAGGCCTAGGGTTTAGGCTTTAGGGTTTGGGAGGAGGCTCTTGGGTATTTACAGGGTTCTTTAGGGTTCCTTTAACGGGGTCTATAAGGTATATTTTAAGGGATCTATAGTAGGGGTCTATGGTATAGGGGCCTTCATAGTATAATGGACCCCAACGAAGCCACGAAGGCTTTTGCGGGGAGGCTCTTGGGTGTTAGGAGTCTTTCTTTTTTTTTTTTTTTTTGGGGGGGGGGGGGTTTAGGCATTCAGTTTAGAGTTCAGGGCTCATTGTGTGTACAGTCATCGGGTTATAGGTCTTTGGGGTTAATACGAGTTTAGGAATTATACGGCTTTTGGATTGATGAGTTTAGGGTCTAGGGTTCATTTATGTTACCTGTGTATATGTATATGTATATACTCATATACTTATATACATGTAGAAAGATAGGTCGACCGATACATACAACTGTTGTCATAATTAGGACCTGTGATAACAGTCAGAGTAGCATTGTGCATGCGTGTTTACATACATGTAGACAGATGCAAGTGTTGCAGTTTATGTAGGTCCTTTTGAAACATTCTTTTTTGTAGGGTTTGGATTTAGGGTTCCTGTCTGGTAAGGGCCCTGCACAAGAGTTTCAACACCTGTACTGTGATTTTTCCGGCCCTTATAAGAACCTTATAGACCCTTTAAGACCGTTATGCAGCGCTGAAACTAAACCCTACAAGCCTCAAAAACCCCTAAGCCAAGACCCCTAAACCCTAAACCCTTAAGGAGCCAGTTGCAGCCGAGAGGCACGATGTGAAAGAAGGAGCCCCAGTCCCTATCACAGTACCTACTACACCGCAGATCGGATAGGATCTAGGGTTTAGGCGTTTAGGGTTTAGTGGTTTAGGGTTTAGGGCTTCAGGGGGTGTTAGGGTTTTAGAGTTTAGGGGTGACCCGAGAAGGCCGAGCTCTTGCAACTGCTCGCTGCCGGCGAAGATGCGGAGTTGCGGCGAGTTCTTGGGCGCCGCGGCCGACGATGGAGGGTTTTAGGGTTGAGGGTTTTAGGGTTGAGGGTTTTAGGGTTGAGGGTTTTAGGGTTCAGGGTTTTAGGGTTTAGGTTTGAGGGTTAAGGGTTGAGAGTTTACGATTTTTTCGGGGTTCAGGCCTTTACGGTTTAGCTTTGAGGGTTTGGGGGTGGAGGGTTTAGGGTCATCCGGGGTGTCCGATGTATGCAGGACACAAAAGGGTTTAGGGTTTAGGGTGGCTGGCTCTTTAGACTTTAGCTTTTTGGGCTTCTATATGAACCATAAAAAAAATAAGGAGGCTAAAAGTTTAACTTTTAGGAGGGGTTCAGAAGTCAGCCAAGATAGGATTCATACGGTGGCCCGAACTTGACGTTGCCGAGATCCGCGGTTAGGGCTTGGTTAGGGAAGTGAGTGAGTATATGTTTTTAAAAAGCCTAAACCCAATCCTATGTTTTTAAGAAACCTATGTCATAGGGTGTGCTATGGCAGTCTGTAGAGTCTACTGGAGTTCAATCTGGCTTCTGAAGGTTTGGGGCTTTGGTTTTAAGGGCTGTAACTCTTACAGGAGTGGATACACTTTGCAGTTTTCGGGATAGTATTACCCACTATAAAGCTGAACGTGTAAACTTTTTGGGGCTTAGGAACCCAGCAACTAAGAACTAGAGGTCCGACGTGGAAGGTCTGTGGGTTACGACTTCGACGATTTGGGGTCTACCCTAAGGCCCCAAAGTAGTTCCTTTTGGGGTTCATATATAGAATTTATAGAATCCTATAAGGTAATCCCAAAAAGGAACTACTATGGGGCCAGCTGACAGTTTCCGAACTGGGGGGTTTAGGCTTGAGATGGCTTGAGTTGAGGAAGTAGGATGTATAACGGTAACACCAAGACTCCAAGTACGCGATTAGTACCCAAGTCGGGACCTAAAGCTGAAATACTACCTGCGCTGTGCTATTTGGAGCCTTTCAGAAAAAAGGAATTTGCAGGGGTTCATACCCAAAGAGCCCTAATGTCAGATAGAACAGAATGTTGGGTTCCTATATAGTAGGAACTACTATGACCGTTCGGGCAGGTATCCCCAGATCGGTGGGATGTTGGTAGTTTGGCTTGGCCTTGAAGAAGCCTGGCTTCGCGCAGGAAGTCTGCTTTTTATTGATGGGATGTGAGTATGTAGTATCAACTTTTGATGCCCCTTCAGATATTGCCCCATAAGGGTTCCATCAAAAAATCAGTCTAGGAGTCCAAGATCGCAATATTTCCTTTTCATAGCCATACCGCAGGACCCCATTCTAACTGTGGAGGCCCCACTATTTGTTGTAAAACCCTAAACTCTGAAACCTGAATCTGAATCCTAAACCCTAAACCCAAAGCAAGAGCCGCCCATTCTTGAGAGAAGGAGCCGCCTGGAGTTTGGCACAGCAGGCGCGGGTTATCTAGAAGTGCTGCACGCTTGGGGAAATTTCAGCGGTTGATTAAGGGTTGAGGGAGGTTCCGGATTGGAGTCGTTACAAAATTAAATAGGAACTCCCAATACAAAATCCGAGTACCGTAGTAGAATGCTGATTTTTCAGATTCCTAGAAGGGGCCCCTCGTTGTCCCCCAAGAACACAGACTGTAACCCGACGGGGGATGCGGTTGCGACTAGCGAATGAAACAAAGAGTTGAGAGCATGACGCAACAAGCAAAACCACAGAAGGGACAGAAGAGAGCAGAGAACAGTCGTGACATGATGCAGACCGTTTGCCAGCATTATGTCGGGGAGCCGCTTGCAGACATGTTAGGGAAGTCAGGCAGCGCGCCGAAAGGCACCTGCACATTCAGCAGCTTCTGGCAAACAGCCGCCGGCAGCAACCACACCAAGCACTGCAGTTATAGCACACACGCAAGAGAAGACTCCTTCCCACTGGAGGGACATACATGCTTCAGAACGGAGAATGGCGCAGCCGAAGCAGCCCACCCTAGCCATGGCCTCGACAAGCTCTTCAGCGCATGTGATAGCGGCAGAGGGGGAAAGGCCAGCAGTGGAGACCTTCTTCTGCAGACTATGTGCAAACGCGGGGGAAGGGAAACACCTACCGCATGAACGCCGAGACCCCCGATGCAAATGCTACGGCCGCGAAAAAGGCGAAAGAGCACTGCAGCAGCCTCCTCTGGACAAAGGGGGGAACCGTAGCATGGAGAGCCGAAGCAGGACAAGAAGCAATCCCTTGAAGACGACGGGAACGTCCACCAGCAGCCGAGGCGGAGTGGCACAGTGAAGACCAAGCCAGCCTCCACCTCAAGTGGGGAATCCTCGAGCTCCGAGACAAGTGAGAGCACAGAGGATGATCCGCTGAGGGGGACACATGAGCAGAGGCGATCGACGAGACGCTATGTGGAACGGCTCTATGCAGAAGCATGGAAGGGGGAGGTCGTCTTCCACACTACTATCTAGGGTACTATATTAGGGTCCTCTATTTTCAGAAACTCCCAATTCAACTAAGCCGTGGTATAGGAGCTTCTTTCAAGATGCCCGATATCTTCATGCAGGAGGGATCCTACGCCGAACCAACATACCTGAACTGTAAATTCACGAGACCCCCCCCAAGCTTGAACCTCATTCCAAGGTGGTGTGGTCTAGTGTTCAGGGTTTAGGGTTTCAGGTTTGTGCTTTAGGGGTAAAGCTTTCGAAAGTACAGAGGGTTTGGTGTTCGGAGTTAAGGGCATGGTTTAGGATTTGAAGTACAAGTGACCAATGTTGAATTCTATAACGGTGTTAATCACTTTAGAAAAATTCGACCCGTCAAAAAAGCCCCTCTTTGCATATGCAGGCCTGCGTGGTCCCATGGGTGGCTTGGACAAGCCTTTGCATTTTGATGGTTCGTTGGTTTGCTTCAAAAGCAAGGGGTTAGGGTTTAGGGGTGTGGGGTTTAGGGTTTAGGGGTGCAGGGTTTAGGGTTTAGGGGTTTATGGTCCTGCGTAGTTTTCGTATTGGCCCTAACACGCATTGTTGGATTCAAACGAACTTCAGACAAAAGTGTAGATTTACAGTAGTTAGTGCCCATACAGACATGTCTGCCCTGGGCCCTGCGGGCTGCGCCATTGCTCTAGATTTTGAGCATCACTGTCCCTAGGGCTCCAGCTACCTTAAATATTCGGTGAATAAAGTTACTAACCACGTTTTATACAACCCAGTAACCTACCATTTAGGTAACTGGAGGGGTGTTTGGAGTTTGACTTTGTAAACCGCAGGAAAAACAGCTCAACCAGCCCAAGCTGAGAACATCAACCTAGCGAAGGAGTGTAGTAAAGGAGTATAGGGGCCCTTTTGGTGTCCTTAAGTTTAGAGGATTCCAGGACCTGGGGCCCTTAAAGTGAGCAGTGATGTCACGCTGCGTCGAGTGATTTCAGCATGAGAATACTTGAAGGATCATAGGACTTAGTAACTAGGGTTATAATTAGGGTAACTATGCTTATGACCACTTAGGACCCCAATTAATGTACTTATAACATTATTTACTAAGTCCCATGATCCCCATTGTAGAACCCCAATTAATGAACCCTAGTGTAGAACCCTCTAGTACCCTTATTGAAAGGAACCCTAAACCTTACTAAGTCCCATGATCCTCCAAGTAGCTACTTCGAGAGCAGCTCTACAAGAAGAGTTTTGGTCAAAGCAGGCATGTTGGTTTAGGGTTCAGGGGTCCGAAATCTCGGGTTCCCAGGGGACTCCAATATCCCTCAATTAAGGAATATTCCTTAAATCATATTAAGGATCGTATACTATAGTTTAAGGTATATCCCTTAATCAAGGGGTATTCCCGGAGTCTCTAGGTTTGAAGTTTTGCAGTACATCCTAAACCTTATACCAAGCCTTGGCCGTAAATCCTAATATCCTACTCAGTCTCCGCAAATCCTACACCTAAAACCTCAGTCGTGAATCCTTAACCGTATAAAGTTACAGTCGCCGAACATTCCTCCACCCAAATGCAGCGCGAAACCATCCAAAACCCTTGAAACCGTAATCTCCAAACCCCAACCCCCTGTAAACCCTGAAGCCCTTTCGGCCCTAAACTCAAATGTAGAGCCACCCCTGAACCGAGCATATCATTGAGCCCCTGTAGTTATAGAACCCGTGGAGGAGCCTTAAGAGGACGTTGCAGGAACCTGGAACTAGGCTTGAAGGAACTCAGGGAGCCCCTTCAAAGGAACCCTTCACGGAAGGAACCCAACTGTTGATGATAAAAATCCCTAGGGCTCCTTTAAAGGGATCTATAGGGGTACCTTTAAGGGCTTCCTTTAAGGGATCTATAGGGTTTAGGGTTGAGGGTTGATGGTATAGATCCTGCTTCACCCTAAGGGCTCGAAACTATGGGAATTATGGTATATCCCCCATTATGGGTAATGCAGGATTTATATCATCAACCGTAAACAGCCCTTTGAAGGAACCGCCAAAGCAATCGGAAGATGTATCTCTCAAACATCCAGGGGCAAAAGGAGGGACCCTTAATGGTTACCCCTACCCTATAATGGACCATATAATAGGTATATAATAGCTACTGTTAGGTTCTACACCTGTAGGGGGTCCTTGTTGAGGGTTCCTCCTTTTCCCCCTATGAAGCCATGAACCTGAGGTCTGGGAAGCTGTCGCATGAACGATCTCGCGGCTTGGCCCCATCTGTCGGGGTCCGAAAGGCTTCCTTTTAACGGCTCCAGGGTTCTAAGCTTCTAAGGTTCTAACTAGTTCTAATTGCATAAGGACTCTCTTACTACGGTAGGACGAAAGTTTGACCTATTCCTTGTTTCGTCCAAGACAGGCCCCCATTCCCCTGTAGACTCCTAGCGCACAGGACCCACCGGCTACTCCTCCGGAACATTAAAGTAGTATAATTTTAAAACGGGGTAGAAAATACTCCGCTGGCCAGGCCACGTAAATCGCACTTGTCGCTACTCCGCTACTCCGCAAGATGCTTTAAGACAAGAAAGGCCCAGTAGGTCAAAACTTTCGTCCTCCCGATGTATAAGGCATGCAGATGGGTTCCGAGAGAGAGTAGCCTGAATTCTTTTCAGGGTTCCTTTATTTCTTGGTGGTTCAAAGCTCAACTTTTCAAGTTTTGGCCTCTTATAAGGTCGTCTTATTCTGAAAGATTGAACTTTTTACCCCATGGTTATTTGGGAACTGAGATTTAGGCTTCCTTCTTTAAGTGTTCCACCTTCAAGGGTTGCTGTAGAGCTTCCGCAGAATTATGTATGGGAGTTTCCGAAAAGAGGGGACCCTAATATAGTACCGCAAATAGAAGGATCCTTATTCTAAGGACCCCGAAATAAGGTACCCCTAATTTTCGGAAACTCCCACATAGCATCATGTGCCGCCAGAGGTTGTTCTAAGTATCAAGACCCCTCGTGGTTCGTGTTTCATAGAGAAACATACAGGTTTGCACAAGGCTTAGGAGATCCTTTGTGTATTCGTCGATGTCTTCCATCAGGTTTTTGAATGTTGCCCCATAGAGGGAGTATAGGACCATTCGCAGGTTTTGTTCCATTGCCCCCCATAATTGAATGGGTTTCAGGGCCCAATCAACAGTCCATGGTGTCGATTGTAACCGAGGCTCACCGTAGCTCAAAAGCCCACATCATATAGAAACCTGAGTAATTCGTAATGGTATAGGATTTCTTCTTTCAGCTACTATATCGTATAGCCCAAAGCCGCGCTCTACTTATTTCGAAGGCCTTATAAGGGTCCCACTCCCTCAACACCTGAGTCCTTACAGCTCAGCTTTGAGATACGAGCCAGGCACTGGATGCAAGGTGTGAGGGGGGGGGGGTTTTCAGGCTTAAAGGTTCTGCAGGAGTTTAGTGGCTTTGTGGAGTTTAGTGGTGTTTAGTGGCTAGGGCCGGCAGCACTATCCACGTAGCACAGCTTCCAGGATTGGTTCAGAGAGAAGGGCTCCTTATTGCTGCGGGGTTTCCCCCTAACTCGGACCTAGAGGTTTACCTCAAAGACATTCCCTGGCCCATCCAACAGGGCTCTCAAGTGTCTGTCCATCACGGGGATACGGCTATTTTCGTCCCGCCAGGACACCCCCATTTCGTTACCACCACTCTACAGGCAATCCTCAGCTCGACCGAGCATTGGAACTCGTCATGGACTCCGCCTCCCCTTGACGGTGAGCGTGCATGGGTTTTGACCTCTGAAGCACCCTTCTCTTTCACGATTTCACCTGACCGCAGAAGTCATTTGCGGCAGGACTTACTCACTGCCATAGGCGGAGGAGCACATGCCCTTTGCTCCCCCGAGCCCCTTGCTCCAGCCTACACACATCAAGGCCTCATACACGAGCACATCATTGCAGCCATTGATCCTGTTCCACTCTCGGAACCAGATGCTGACAGAAGGATCTTCTGTTTCGTCGATGCACGACCCCTGCTACTCCGTGTCGAGTGCCTCCTGGCCTACGACGGCATCTTGCCATGTACAAGACTCCAAGCGCAATATGCCAACAGATGTCCTCCGGGCTTTGTGCTTTGTTACTTCGAACAGGATGGTTTTGTACATCCTGTTATCCGGGACATCAGAGTGCGAGACTTTGAGGTTGTTGTGCTCACCTTTCTTCCTGCACACTTTATCCCAGATTCGCAAGAGCTTGACAGCTCGTTGCCCCCACAAGAGGACCCGTCGTCTCGTGATGACGAGGGGCCGGATGAATCCCAGGGGGATGGCGATTCCGCTGCTGCGTCACAACAGTCTGTTTCCAATGACGCGTCGACAGGGGTCGATGCCGGCACTGGTGGTTCCAGGCGTTTTGGTTCTCAGCTCGCGCATACCCCATCTACTGCAACCTCCTTCCGGCATGCTGCCACGGGGAGGGACTGCTTCCGAATCCATGGTGCGATCATTGAAAGGGGGATCCCAAGTGTGCGCCGGCTTTCCGTCAAGTGGAACTGGGTCAATGTACTTCCCGCCCTTCCAAGAGGGCTGCCCGGGGACACCTCTGATGATGCTGCCGGCTTCCTCCGTTGGATCCTCTTTCTCCTTGCCCTGTGCGGTGCCCTTCTCGCCCTCAGCCTTAGGGCTCTGAGCCGCCTTCCTACTCTTTTTGTAGTCGGGTTGCTCCATGTCCTTCTTCAATGGCACGGTGCGAGTGCTGTCCAGCTTGGGGATACAGCCAAGGTCATTGCTAACCGACCTCCCCACCCACAAGGCATTTCTGGGAGTACTGTCGCACGTCCGGTGCCCACGCCCTGCCGTAATGTCCCCTTCGGTGGCACAGGACATACCTGCTCGACTAGCGAAGATGATGTTCTCGGCAGCCAATCAAGAGAGCTATTCATTGAGCGGGGTGATGCCTTGTGCACATTACTTGAATGCAGTAGAGTTGAAAGTGCGGATCGTCCACTGTTCCTTGCCTGGACTCTCTTAGAAACTCTGCTTGAGCATCAGGGCTCTGCTAGCCCTCTGACAGCGAAGGATACAGCCGCATTTGGGCCCAGCCCCCACACTTCTGCGCCTCGGGGCCCTGATGGCCACTCCTTCGGGGCCGGGGATCCACCAGAACCTTGCAACCTTGATTCCCGGACTCCCCAGCCCATCCGGATATGTGACCACCTTCCAATATGCCAGACATTTGATCTTGCTGCAGTCTCTGTTGATATGGGTGTCAGCCTTGATCGGGTTATGCATGGCATTGCGTGTGACTCTTGGCCACTTCAACATCGGCTGCCGGAACTTGGAGACATGCACCCGGCAGCGAGGGCCTTCCTCAGCCACTGCTCCCTTGTTGATAAAGGAACCTGGTCAGAAGTCTCTAACCGCCTCAGTCATGTTGACCTCTACACGGATGGGTCGTTTGACGGGAACCTCAGTTCCTGGGCTTTTGTCGCGTTTGGATGGTCAGAAGCCACATGCTACTTCCTTGGGTGGCAAGCCGGAGTTGTTCAAACTTCGCCCCAGCTTCCGGACTACATCGGAGCCAGCACTCACCACGCCCTGGCAGGCGAGTACTCCGCACTTGTCTGGGCGCTCTACTGGGGTATCCAAGCCTGCACCTTTCCATCTTTGGCCTACCACTCTGACTGCCTCTCTGCTCTCCAGCAGGCCAATGGCCAATGGGGCAGCCAGTCCGGGGATCTGCTTATGAAGGCCTCACGGGCGCTCCTTCAACTGCTGTGCTCTGTCCAACCTGCCTTCAAGGGTGCCGTCGACCATGTCCACTCACACCAGGGACAGCCGGGCAATGAACTAGCGGACTCGCTTGCTAAGTTTGCGGTCAGGACAACATATAAGGCCCATTTGTCAAGTAGAGCGACGGAACTTGCCCAAGCGATACGCGACGGTTCTGTTCAATGGTGGTGGCTGATCCACACAGGGGCAGTTGCCCCACAGGCCTGGCCACAGTTCTGCGGCCCCCACCTCTCGGACCATCACCGGTTCTCAGACAACAGTCCTCCATCCGACCTGGAAGCCAAGGCTTGGTTTGGGTACGAGTCGGGTCTTAGACATAAGCCAGACCTTACCAGACTGCTCACGCTTAGGCTCCTTACGGTCAATGTGCAGACACTCAATGACCCCTCCGTTCCAGCATGCGATAGTCGAGATTTCAAAGGGCGAGCTGGCTTCCTTAGAGAGCAGCTCGACTCCTTGAGCATCCATGTGGCAGCGCTCCAAGAGACGCGGGCGTTAGCCAGTGACACGATTACGTCGCATTCCCACATCCGCTTCTGTTCTGGCAAAGATCCAGCCGGTTGCTTGGGAGTCGAGCTTTGGTTTAGTCGACTTCTCCCTTTCCTAGGCGATAGAGGTTCGAAGACATACTTCCAGCCGGGAGATTTCCTCGTTGCTTTCGCTGACCCACGAACACTGGTAGTGAGGTTTGCCAGGGGCAGCATCAAGGTCCTGTTTGTTTGCATCCATGGCCCTACCACGTGCGACCCGCAGAGAGAGTCATGGTGGGCAATGCTCCACGAACGCCTCCACAGATTTAGCGAGGCGCACGAGGTTGTTCTTCTAGGGGATTACAACACACACTTTGCAGTCCCCATACCAGGCCGGGTCGGTTCTCTTGTCTTCCCGGGATCGGGTTCGGTTCCCACGGGCCTCCAGAAGATTCTCCACACTCAAGACATTTGGTTGCCGGCCACATTCCCTGACATACATCAGGGAGCTTCTCTCACCTGGGTCTCTCCCTCCGGTTCTTCGGGTTCTAGAATTGACTTCGTAGGGATCCCATGTACGTGGATTGCTGGTCCGCAGTCATCCTGTGTCCAGACAGACTTGGACTGGGGCCAGGGCCATACCGACCATTACGCGGCCCAAGTAGAAGTGTCTGCCCTGGTCAGAGCCTCAGCGAGGGGTCCACACAGAGTCCGGCTCGACAGAGAGGCAATGTGCACCCCGGAAGGGCAAATTGTGCTCTCTGAGATCTGGAAACAGGCTCCTCAGGTGCCGTGGTCCACCAATGTCCACCGACACTGGGCTGCCTTGGAAGGTTACCTACGAGGCGAACTGACCAAGGCTTTTCCCAACCAGAGAGGCCAATGTAGGTCCTCTCATTTCAGTGAGCATACATGGCACCTGCGCCAGAGAAGAGTCTGGCTGCGTCGCCAGATTTTAAAATGCCGCGACCTGCTTCTGCCACCAGCCCTGCGCGACTCGTTTTCAGCATGGCAACGCAAATGCCGGCTTGCTGTTGCCAAACTCTCAGGTAGTCTCCGTGTCATGCACTCACAAAGCAGACTCTCTGGTTTTGCGGCCGAACTGCGCCAGACCCGCAAGACCCTCCGGCAAGCGGTTCGCCAAGACATCCAACACCGAATCGTTACAGTCGCGGCAGAAGCTGAACATTGCGCCACAGCTGAAGCTGTTCGACGCCTCAAGCCCCTTCTTGGTCCTCCCAAATGCAAAGCTAGGACACACAAAGGACTCCCCTTAGTCCTTACAGCCAACGGCACTCCGGCCACTACTACAGAGGAGGTCGAAGACACATGGGTGCAGCACTTTGCAGGCATCGAGGACGGCCGCAAAGTCCAACCTGCTCAACTTGCAGCCTCCTGCATGTCCATACAAAGCGGTCGGGACCTGGAGCTGATCTCCTTCAACAGGGATGACATCCCGAGTCGGATCGAGCTTGAAGCTGCGCTCAGGGCGACCTCGACAGGCCGAGCATCAGGCCTTGATGGAGTCCCCGGGGAGGCCCTTCACTGTGCAGTTGCGGCGGCGTCGGAGGCTCTGTATCCGTTGCTGCTCAAAACTAGCCTACGGTTGGCCGAACCGGTGCAGTTCAAAGGGGGCAGCCTAGAGGCTGCCTGGAAAGGCAAAGGCTCGCCGGCAGTCTGCGCCTCCCACAGAGGCATCCTCATCTCAGCAGTCACAGGAAAGGCCTTCCACCGTCTGCTCCGATCCCGATGTGTTGGACCGCTGACATCGGTCACCTCTCCTCTGCAGCTAGGAGGACTCCCCTCCTGCCCAGTGACAGCTGTCTCTCATTCGGTTCGTCTCTTTGTCGCTGCGGCTCGAGCCCATAAGCAATCGTTTGCTGTCCTGTTTTTGGATCTCCAGGAAGCATTTTATCGAGTTTGCAGACCCTTGCTCACCGGTGCGCAGCTGAGTGATGAGGCCATTGCAAAAGTAGCAGCTACCATCCGGCTGCCACATGGAGTGTTACACGAGCTCCATCTGCACTTAACAGGGTCTTCGGTCTTTGCGGGTAGTGGGGCCAGCTCCTGGCTGTCCGGCGCCATGAGTGAGGTTCTAGAGGCTACCTGGTTCCGCTTCAAAGCAGGCCCCTCCCTAGTGCAAACTGGTATCGGAAGCCGTCCAGGCGACAATTGTGCCGATATCATCTTCTCTTTCCTCTTCTCCAAAGTGCTTCAAGAGCTATCCAAGGATATGGCTGCCAGGGGATGCACGACCCAATTGCCATATCACGATTCCATGCGTGATGACATCTTCAAGTCGGGAGCTGGGTCTCCGCATTCGATTGATATCTTCGATGCTACTTGGATGGATGATCTCGCACTTATGATGCTGTCCGACTCAGCCGAGTCCATCGTTACCAAAGCTGGGCATGTAACGGGCTTGCTGGTTGACGCTTGCTTGTCTCGGGCACTCCTACCCAACCTTGCCCGGGGCAAGACAGAGCTCATTATCGTGCCCTCAGGGACTGGCTCAAAAGGCGTCCGTGCTGGCCTTTTTCGGGACAAGGATCCCTCCATCGCGATCCCCTCAAGACTGTGGCCTGGTGCCAGAGTGAGAGTGGTCAACTCCTACCGACATTTAGGAGGTACAATCCACTTCACGGGAGACCTATCAAGAGAGGTCAGGTCCAGGGTTGCACTTGCACATGAAGCCTTCCAGAAGAGAAAGCGCCATATCTTCGGGTCTCCCACTGTCCCCAAGGCGGCAAAGGCCACCCTGTATAACTCTCTTATCCTCTCCGTGCTCCTCCATGGGGCCGGTACCTGGCCTGGGCTCAGCGCGGCAGCGCTCTCCTCCCTGAGCTCTGCTTACGAGAGGATGGCCTGTCACATGTGCCGGCCACACTGGGACTTCGATCAAGCCCTTCATGCCGGTCGAGATCAGGTCCTTGCTTATCTGGGACTTCCTTCCGTTGCGGTCCTTCTGCACATCCACCGCCTCCGGCATCTGCTGCTCTTTGTCCGTTTGCAGCTTGATCAGCTTTGGGCCCTCGCACACTGGGAAACTGAGTGGCTCGCCACTGTTCGTTTGTCCCTTGCATGGCTTTGGGACCTTGTCCGAACCTCTAAGGATACGAGACCCTGGGAGGACATCTGGCCGGAGTGGCTTCAATTGCTACATAAGTCCCCCGGCAAGTGGAAGAGCCTGCTCAAAAGAGCACAGGCCAGAGCTGTCCACATCGAGGCATGGCAGGCTGCATACCACAGACACTGCGCGCTCCTTGTCCACCAGCTTCAACGTCACGGAGCCATTTCTTACGGCCCAACGTTGGATCAACAGGATCAGGTACACTGCTGCGCGCTTTGCCGCACCACCTTCTCCACCCGACAGAAGTGGTCGGTGCACGCCTTCAAGTGTCATGGAAGGCGTATGGCAGGGAGAGGCATTCTCCCGGGACTACAGTGCCAAGCATGCCTCCGTACCTACCCCAGTAATGTCAGACTCTGCCGGCACCTTCGGTATTCCCTCCCTTGTCGTGCAAAGCTATTATCCCTGGGCTACTCCTGCAGTGTTGAACCCGGCGTCGGACATCGCAAAGATGACGACAAGGCCGCTGGTTTATGCCCAGCTTTGTCTGGGAGTGGACCACTCCAGTTGTTCCCACAGCTTCCGGATGTTCACCAGGAGGTCTGCCCTGTCGCTGAAGTGTGGGACTGTTTGGGGCTTATCGAATTCGATGGCCCTGTAACGGACCTTTCGGATGAAGAGCTGTGGGATCGATTGCGCCTGTCGTTCTCTTGTGTCTGCGCATCGACAGATCGCCTTAGGGCGACGGCCTTGTCTTGGGCCGAGTTTCTTCACGCCACGGGCGGCAGCACCCGACTCGTAGACTGTGCGGAGTGGATCAGTACGACCGACATCGTTGCCTGGCTTGTCCCCACGCCCACTGTCCGCTAGTCCATGTACCGAACCTACCGGGACTCGGTACACATTCTTGGTCTCCTTGACACCTCCCTGATCCAACCGGGAGCCCCCGGCCCTCTCACCCCGGACCTTGTCTTTATCCGGGTTCACTCTGGGTCGAGGATGTCACCCCTGTCGCTCTGCGACCGCTGCTTTCTCGAGTTCACCTTTGATGAATGCCTCTTGGATTTCGCCAAGGGGGATCAACCAGCGTTCTTTGATGGCCCTTTTGACGATGTCGCCTTTGCCATTGACCTTACGGGGCTTCCACTCCTCCGGACTTTGCCGTGTTTTGACTCGGGCCTCTCGTATGGTCAGGCGGAACTCGGAAAAGCCATCCTAGGCGCTGACCTCCTTCGCTTCTTCCTGAGGCTGATTCTCCTACGTGTGCCGGCTATCCTGGTTGTGTCGTCTGCGACAGATCTCTGCATTCAGTCAGTTTCTACACTTGCTGGGATCCGAGCCTCTAGCATAGGAAAGCACCGCATACTCTCGAATAGCAGCGACCTTCTCGGTCACTTTTGTCTCACCCCAACTTAATTAATGCAAGCCAACGGGCTGCATCCGAATCGGAGCATGTGCCCCAAAAGCGAAAAGCGAGAGGTGTTTAGTGGCTTTTGAGTTGGGTGGAGGGTTTAGGGTTTACGGTTTGGGTGTTTACGGATTAGGATTTGTGTGCATTTCGCAGCAGCTGAGGTTGTTCTGCAAACAACCCAAGGCACATGCTGCAGTTGCTGTATCATATATCATTCAGTTGCCTTTTGGACTCAGCACGTTCGGACGTGTTGCTTTTGTATATTCGGGCTTTTCCTGGGAGTGGTGATACGAGCACCGTAGACCTTTGCCTGCAACTGTAGTTCCTGTGCAGGTCCTGTACTCAGGAAAAAGCGGTAACCAAAGCAGGAATTGTTAAGAGCCCGTATAGAGCCCTAAACCCCAAAGCCCTTCACCCTAAACCCCGTGTGACCGTATGATTTGCAAATCAACTGAATGACAGGACTGCTTTGGTTTGGAGGTTTAAGATGCCCAGTAGTACCCTTATTCCCTTTTTGTAGTCCTAGGTTCCTTATAAAGTTACCAAAAAGAGAGGCCTTTTTTTTCTTAGGTTACTGGGTATCCTAGAGGTTTAAGATCTTCGACAGGGCCCTGGCAGTTTTAGAATTCAGGGCCTCGCACTGGAGGGATTTGTCCCTAAACCCTACACTACAAAAGTCTAAACCCTAAATCCTAAACCTTTTAGGGATTTCTGGATGAGGGTTTTCGGGTTTAGGAATAGGAAGTTTACGGCCGAAGAGGATCCTAAAGTACTTATACGGCTTCCTTTAGGGGTTCCTTGAAAGGGTTTATGGTGTTTTCTTAAGGGGTTTACGGTTCCTTCATGGGAGATCTCGCCCAGATCATGGCACTGTTTCCTAATGTTGAAACCGTACTTTCTACGATGTAGGTACTTTTAGGACCCTGTAAAGGTACCCTCATGGTACCCTTCAAGGAACCCTTCAAGGAAGCTTTATGGTAGCCTGAAAGGAACCCTCGTAGTAACAGTACTCTCCAGGGTTTGAGCGAGTGTGGACCAAGTCGGTGCGTCAGGTCTTGGAGTCTGTTTCTGTCTGGTATCCAGACCCCCGGGAGGATCTAGAAATTAGATCCCCTAATTTGGGGCGCCAAACTACTAAGGGTACTTGGAGGGGAAGGGGACTTAGTAAGTCGTTTATAAGTAGGGTTACAATTGGGGTAATTCCATTTAGGGTACTTTTAACCCTACTTATAACCTACTTACTAAGTGCCCTGCCCCTCCAAGGAAACCCTAAACCCCGTAGATCCCTTTGAGGAAGCCTATAGATCCCTTTAAGGAGCCCTGTACTACTAAGGGTACTTTATTAATAGGAACCCGGGGTCTGGGTAGGCGCTCGGACATGGGGCTGCAGATCCGTGCATCAGGGGTACTTATAAAGGATCGTGGGACTTAGTAACTAGGGTTGCTTAAAGGGTTCCTGAAAAGGGATCCATAGGGGCTCCATAGGGGCTCTATAAGAGGGGTTTTAGGGTACTTAAAGGATCATGGGACTCAGTAACTAGGGTCATTTAGAGTAAGTTCTGAAGAAACATAAATCTCAGTTTAACATGCAGTCAAACATAGACACTACGAGCGACTCCCATGGGTGACAATCATAACGACTTTGGAACTAATGCTCTCTTATTATAATACTTACTATCGGTAATGGGATGCAAACAGGAGCTGAGGTCTATGGGGGCGACTTTTGTCCTAGTCAGCTGGGAAAGTCATAATTGCTAAGCCCCCACATCCGAGTTGTTGTCAACGACTTGGGGCTAGAGGTTTAGCGAACCGTTTGGCCGCTGACGTCCCAGAACAGCAACCACCTGGACTATTTCCGAAAGGAAAAAGGCAGGAAAACAAAGCTGCGGGTTGTCAATGATGGCAACCTCAACCTGACACCCTGCCTTCATTGCAAACTTGGCATCGGCAAACTATACGTACGCACGTATCCTACGTATCTAAAAGCACCGTTGCGACAGCTTCTGTCAGCTGCGAGCTACCGACTATGGTGTCTAATGAAGTCCATCTCAAGGCTGCTGGCGAAGGGACACAGCCACATGAGACAGCTGATGCCGATGCTGCTCCAGGTGTGCCTTCATTGCAAATTTGGCATCGGCAAACTATACGCACGTATCTGGGCTGCGCAGAGCATGCAAGCTCTGTCTGAAACATGCCTACATGGCTCTGCGCGATGGATGAGCACATGAACCTTTGTCCGGCCAAGCCACTGGAGGCCCTGGCCCTCCATACTTCATACTATAATTATAACAAGCAACCCCTTCAGGCCCCTATACTAGACACTATACTCATCAGTGTCGAATGGAAGCCCTATGCCTCTCCGGCATAGGAACTACAGGGCACAGATAAAGACCGTGAGGCAAATCAGGGGTGGCGAGGTTTAGACGTCATCATTGGGGTTGAGGATTGTCGGTTCAAAGTGTTCCTGCCTTCGAACTTGGCATGCCTTTTGCTGTTGTACAATTTCGGGTTTAGGGTTTAGGGTTGACAAGCTGTATGCTACTTCAAACCCGCCACAAGCTTCCAAGCCTTAAGAGCCCTAAAGCCCTCAACATCCCACGCTTCTGTTGCTTCGGAGGTGTCTGTGCTTACCTCAAAGAGGTGGCTGATAGCGACGCCAAGCAGCGTGGGGTCTCTCGCTGAAGTTACAGGGGAAGGACTTACCCGAAAGATCAAAGTACCTACATCCCTACAGGTCTATGTACCCAAATAGTAGATTCTTTAGTTCCTATAGGTGCTTTGGGGCCAAAGTATGTACAAGTTGGGTACATGGACCCTTACGGTATGCTAGTAAGCAAAATCTCCATACAGGAGTTAAGAGTATTTTTGTTGGAAGATTTCCCTCCTACAGGTACTTAGGACTTCATGGCGAAGGGTTTTAAGAACCGAACTGGGGGAATTTTATCGGGAGCCGACTCCCATACTTGTAGTAGGTATGGACAGTCGTGGGTCGTGTTAAAGGCAGCTGAAGATTTGGATTTGCGATTTGGGCTGTAATCTCTGAGTTAAGACTAGGAGGTTTTGGCTGTGCAGGGCTTCGAGGGTTTGATGAAGTTCTCCAAACAAGTACGCATACCATCACTAAACTCCTGCACCCTAAACCCCACGTTGACGGTTGACGTTTCGGGTAGGGCCTCACCCTAAGGGTCCAAACAAATTGGGGAACCTCAAACTTGAGGGTTCTTGAGACCCCATAGAGACCCAAGGACTCTCCCTAGGACATTCCGGACCCTCCTAAGGAGATACGGTTGATGATATAAATCCTGTATGACCTTAAGGACCCTAAACTGTAGGAATCATGGTATATTCCTTATTGTGGGTAATGCAGGATTTGTATCCCTAAACCCCAATACCCCATAGATCCCATAAAGGAACCCTTTAAAGGTACCCTTGTAGCTCCCTTTAAAGGAACCCTAGGATTTATATCATCAACAGTACCTGGACCCTCCGGGTAGGGTTTCGAGCCCAGGGACCCATTGGCCCAGGGGACTTAGTAAGTAGGTTGGAGGTAGAGTTGTGAGGGCCCGTATAAAGGTACTCTAGGGTTCTAGCATATGGGGCCCTTTTAAGGGTACTATACTTAGAGGCCTGAGGGACTTAGTAAGTAGGTTAGAAATAGAGCTACAAGTACCTTACATGGCGTTACCCCAGCTTTTTTCCCTACGTAGAACCGACTTACTAAGTCCCCCCTCCAAGTAAAGCCTAAACCCCATAGATCCCCTTAAGGAGCCCTATAGATCCCTTTAAAGGGACCCTTAAAGGAGCCCTAGTTACTAAGTCCCATGGTCCTTTAAGTAGACCCTAAACCCTGAACCCTATAGACCCCTTTAAGGAACCCTATAGATCCCTTTAAAGGATCCTTTGGCCTTCGGAACTGGGATTGAAGGCTTTGGGTCCACGAGGCCCCGATGAGACAACAATAGCAAAAGACATCATAAGTTTGAGGTTTAGGGTTTAGGGTTTAGGGTGGAGACAACTTAAAGTTAAACCCTTAAGCCCTAATCCCCAAAGCCTAAAACCCTAAACAGTTCGGAGAGTTGTGGGCTTAGGGTTGAAGCTTGAAGTCTTGGGGCTTAGGGTGCACCAGCAAAGCAAAGCCAAAACGAACATGTGCCCGCGAGCAAGAAAGACAGCATCTCAATAGAAACCCCAGGAAAGAGTGGCCACCCTGAGTAATGTAGGAACCTGATTAAGAAACTTTGTGCCCGTATTAGGGCTCCTTACATGAATCCTACTCTTTTGGTGTTATGGGGCCAGGGTTTCTTAATCAGGTTCCTAACAATAATTTCCAATCACGAACCCCTTTAGACCCTAAAGCTAGGAGCTTTCAAAAATTGAGCCAAACCCCATGGAACCTGACATGACAATGAAGCGCTCCGAATCCCGGAAACCTGAAACCATCTATGAAAGCCTTAAACGCAAGGTATGCATCGGTTTTGACCACCGCGCCGGAGGTGGACACCTGGTGCAAAGACAATGACTACCTTCAGCGCTCAGAAAGCCAGGGTTTAAGTTTTCTTGATTTAGGCTTCAAGGGGCTTAGACTTAGAGTTCAGCGTTTTGGGGTAAAGGCTGTTGCGGTCAGAAGGTTTTGCAGCAGAGGGGTTGGTCCTAAACCCTAAACCCTGTATAAACCGTAAAAGGACTAACTTCTCTTTCGGTTAGGATCTCCTCGAGAGGAAGGAAGCGTGTTTCCGAGGATTGGACCATGGAAAAGGGGAGTATGATGCAGAACCAAATCCTACTCCATAGCTATATCGGCTTCTGGCCCTAAAGCCAAAACCCTAAACTTATAAACCCTAAACCCTCAACCCTAAGCCCAAGGCTGCAACTCCAGAAGTTTCGCCGATTGTGCGGCGCGCATTTTCTTGGAGGAAGGCGGGGCACTTCTCAGATCCAGCGACTGCAAAAGACTCGCCCAAAAAGGTATCCGAATCTCTATAGATCGCACTATTCTCCGATATATATATATATGTATATATAGATAGATAGATAGATAGTTGATCGAATTGAACCTGAAGAAGTAGAAGTTCTAGACTCTGAACTGCAGATCATGACAGGAGCTTTGTCGGGTTTACTGTACATCAGTTTCCCACGTCGTGGTTCGTGACTGCACGTTAGGACTTACCCTAAACCCTAAACCCTAAACCCTAAACCGTGTGTTTTTGTCATCTTGTCCAACTACATGTGTGAGAAAGCTTGCAACGAGTTTCTTGTCTAGTGGGGATTATCCTTGCGGGCTCTGCTCGCCAGTGCTTCACATGTTTATGCTAAAGGGGGAGCGAGAGGGATCGAGGTTTTCTGCATGGGAGATTATGTGATTAGCTGCACAGTGCGCGATCCGCCATAGCTTTCTCTCAACGACCCCGAACCCGGATTCTTCCAGCGAAGCATCGTGCTCTTGCATTCAGGCTTTACGGTGTACCTCTACCGCGACTTCGTTGCTACTCCCATGGTGCCTTCGTGAACCACCTAGAGGGCCATACACAACACTATATTTTGTCTTGTTAACAGATCCTAACCATAAGACTCGCGGCTACCCGGTGCCAGAAAACAGCGCAGGATACTTCCTGTCGGGAAGAGTATCAATTTCGTCCATGGCTTTCACCATGCCGCGCCGCCTGAAGACAAATACTTGAAACCTACATGCGTTGAACAATTCGATCTGAAAGCTTCAGATTCCAGGATTACTTCACCCAAAGGGTCCAAGTGCTGCTGGTGTAGTATATGCAGTATATGCTTTGCAGGCCCAAATATCTACTAGGTACCTCTTACATTGGTACTTGGACCCTTTGGGTCAACATCGTGCAATTGAGGCGCACAGACCCAACGCTCTTGAGTAGGTCGAAAGTACCAGCATGTAGCTGCAGAAAGCACATCTCTCCCATGTCCTGGCAGTGTCACTTGAGACCTGCGGCCGGATCGTTCAAGACATAGTTAATCCAATCGCAGGGAATACATGCATGCAGTCATACTCACATAGATACATAGCATACTTATAAATGCACAGATATGTGAACACATGCATTCATACATGCATACATACACATTAGATGTGCATGCATGCATTCATGCGTGCAAGCACTAGTGGAGCATTTATCCATGCATCCATGCACGGTTGCATCTTGTATGCTTGCATGCATACATAAATACATACATACATACATACATACATACTCGCAGCAGACATAGATACGTACGTACGTACATGCAGACATGGACATACATACATATATATATATATATACGTGTACTTAGCATACAGGCTTTGATTAATGTCATACTTCACTTAACTCTTCAAGGTGCCCTGGTGCATGGAGCAGCGGAGATGTGTCGCCGGCGGCTTCGAAGACAATCCAATAACATAAAGGGAACTCCAGAAAGGGCTTACCTTATAGGATCCTAATTATATATTTGGTTAAACCAAAAAGGGAACTACAATGGAGACTAAAGGGAACTCCAGAAAGTTGGAATATGGATTAATGGTAGGATCCCCTATAGTTTACCTTAAAGGGGTTACGATAATGATATTCCAACTTTCTGGCTTCCACTGTAAGGGCAGGAATAAGTATTTCTGTCTCCTTGTTGTTCTTCTGTAGGGATGCGGCACATATCTCGCAATCCTAACCTACTGTTGTATAATCGTAAAGGCCTCTGAATCATAGAATCTCGTAAAGCTTTTAGTGCAGCTCCTCCGGAACTATTCAACGAGCCGCCCTCAAAATGTTCTACTCGGCCCGGATTACTGTATTTGACTCTATATCTGATAAAGCCATTATATTCGGCCGTGGAGTTCGAAGTGCGGAGGCTGGAGTTTACATGTTACAATTGCCGTAAACGCTAAACTAAACCCTCAACTCCAAGCCCAATGCCAGCCGAGGCATCATGATCACTGCCTCCCACAATCCCAAAGCGGATAACGGCACTTTGGTCCTGCAAAGATTCCTTTTGTGTTGCATGGGCTTACGGCTTGCAGGGTGTTCTCTGTGATCTCCAAACCTCAAACTCTAAATTCCTAATCTCTAAACTCTAAACCCTGATGGGCTGTCCCAAAAACACGACATGCAAAATCCCAAAAGCCCAACACTGCTGCGGGTCCTCAGGCTTTCGCTCCCAAGCCCTAACCCCCATCCCGAAGCCCACGTCATAGGAGGCCAAAAGGGGTTCTAGCCTATGGGGGTTTAGTAGGGATTAGGGTTTAGGGTTTAGGGTTTAGGGTTTAGGGTTTAGGGTTTAGGGTTTAGGGTAATAGGGTTCATATTCAGGAATCCCTACCCCAAGAATCTTAAACCCCCACTTTTGGCCTCCCATCACCACGGCCTGCCGGCCCGAAAGCGTGACAACGACCCAACTAGGCCCCGCCGTTCGGATCCTGCACAGACGAAAAGTCGAAAAATATTGGGTTTAGGGTTCGGAGTTTCCTCTGGGCCTAACCCAGAGGGGAAAAGGAGGGACCTTTTATGGGGACCCCTACCCTATAATGGGCTATATACTGGGTATACCATAGCTATATTAAGGGTATATACCTAGGGGTCCTTATTAAGGTTCCCTCCTTTTACCCTTGGATACACGACAAACATGTCAGAGAACCCGAAAACAGTAAGACATGGCTTTCTCAGGCCCTAATATGATAGTTCAGCTGCGGCACTTGAGCCCTTGCACACTGTACTGCTTAAGCCCAGTCTACGAAACCCAAGGGTCCGTTGACGATTCATATATGTACGGTAAACAAGACATAGACTCACAGCCGGGTACGTCAGCAGTAGGGATCCTGTAAGGATTCCGCCATGGCTTTGAGTTTTTGAAAGTGTTCATCCCAGCCTTCCCAGATCCTAAAGTCTAGACTCTAAACCCTCGTCCATGAGGTAAATTATCCTAAAACCCTAAACCCTAAAAGCCCTAAACCCTAAAAACACTAAGCCCTAAACCCCAAAACCGACAGCCTTAAACCCCGAGCCCTTAGCCTGTGAGCTGATTCCCTCAACCCTGAACCCTACATCGAGGGTCCTACCCTACCCTTTCAGGGCAATGGCCTATTTTTCTACAAACCATAAAACTATATAGGTACCAAAAGAAAAGAGGTTAGGGTGTGACCCTACACTAAACAGTCCTAGGCTACAAGCTTTACTGGAGCAATGCTGCGCAAATCATTCCGCCTCATGATGCCAAGAAGCGCGGCTGATTTAGGCTTCTGTGGTTTCCAGGTCCTTGAGGGTGCAGGATTCTAGGGGGGGTTTAGGGTTTAGAGTTTAGGGTTTAGGGGTTTAGGGTTTAGGGTTTAAGGTTCAGGGGTTTAGGGTTTAGGGTTTAGTGGGTGTCAGATTTTGGGTTCTGTTGAAAATTTATGGTGTTGAGGCTGATTGTAGCCATAAGCTCAAGCCGTAGATTTCCGTCTGGGCTCTGGGTTTAGCGGATAGGTTCAAGGGGTTTAGGGTTTAGGGGGATAGTTTAGAGCGGTTTAGGGCTTCAGCTAGGGGTTTGAAGCATGTACCAGTAAAGTAATGGTTGCACCGAAGGTGTTCCTAGATTGTCAGTTCAAGGCCAATGTATATAACTAGGTAGATGGACCCTGAGTGAAAGCAAAGTGATACCTATTTGCCTATGGGAATGTTACCTTCAGCTGCTTATCCCCAAACCCTAAGCTATCGGCACCGGCTCTGCAGCTACCAACCAACCCCAAACTTCAACCCAAAACGCCAAACCCTTCTCTTCACGGCCCTCGATACCTTCAAGCTTGACCCTAAGCTTCGTGATTTCCAGATTCTAGACTGCCTTCAAAACTGTTGTTGGAGTTGTTTGCTAAACCCTAAACCCTAAACTAAACTACACGGCCAAAGACACCTGGGTTGTGTATAGAAGTATGTGCATAACCATCGTTCATAACTCACAAATCCCTCTCCGTTTCCTGGTGTCCCGCCAAGGATCGCGGCTCTGATTGAAGAGAACTTGGCGCCCTGGCCCTGCAGCGTCACCTCGGCGCCCTGGCATCAGGTTTAGTTTTTTCGAGAAGCATCGGGACTATCACATTACTTTGTCTCCCTAAGGGTCCAAGTGGCTACATGGAGTGCTAGGGCTGTTAGGGGTATTGGCCTCACTGAGTGTGTGTCAAGAAGCATAAAAAGCACCTTGGAAGGGCCACGTAGTACTTTCAGCTGCTAAACCACTGCGTCCCCAAAACCGCAACACTCGAACCGATTCGCATAAATTGAAGATGCTGAACTGCAGCTTATGCCGTGCGTGTCGCAGATTTAGGCTTCGATTTAGGCTCCTCAGCAGTACGCGTCTACCCTGTTTACTTTGGGATCAGATCACCTAACTCCTGCATGGAAAATAATAATAGGTCCCCAAAACAATAACAGGCGGGTATCTGCCTTATTGAGCGGATGCAGGGGAACCTATAGAATGGGAAAGGTGTCCATAAATTCTAAACACTACCTTCAAACCTGAAAAATGAACCATGCTAAGCTCTAATTCCGCAAAGCCAGAAACCACCAAACTAGACGAATGAACCCTAAGAGCTACACCTACGATCAGCTTGAAACCTGAAACGCTAAACCATGCTAATCTTTCAAATCCTCAAGGCCGAAGGACACTAAGCTAGTCTAAACCCCTGAGAACGACACCCACGATCACAGAGTTTAGGGTTTAGGGAGACTAGTTTACCGTAAGAACTGCAGAGGTGCAGGACCATCCACGATGCAAAGATCCTGCCGCCGAGGGGTCCCGCGGAAGCGAAGCGGATCCAGTTCAGGGTTTTTCGGTACCTTCTGCTAGACTTTACCCAGAAATTCGGGAGGATCTAGAAAGTAGATCCCCTACTTTGGGGCCCTGTACTACTAAGGGTACTTTACAGGAACCCCCATGAAGGGATCTACTTTTTGGATCCTTCCGGGGGTCTGGGGAGTTGTTCCTTTAGGGGTTTCTATATGAGAGCATCTGTAGTAGCGATGTCCCTTCTACTCACTCCCTTGGCGTACTAGGCTTTCAATGTTTTTTTGGTATTAGGCTTCAAGGAGTCCAGCATAGCAGGGCCTTCTGATACATGTGGGAGTTTCCGAAATAGGGACCCCTATATAGTAGGATCCTTAGTATAAGGACCCCAAAATAAGGTACCCTAATTTACGGAAACTCCCATGTAGGCTTGACGGGTCCTAAAGCCTAAACCCTAAGCCCCAAGTTGCATGCGGATGGTTGACTAAATTTCATAGAGGGGAGGCCTTGAAGACTTCTGTAGACTGATCCTGGAGCTTCCCGACGTTCAGGCTTGAAGCAGATCAAGAGCCATACCTTCCTGTTAAGGGTTCCCTATCATAACGTCCTTGTATAGGTCCTTAAGAAGGTAGCTGTTAAGGGTTCCCTATAATAAAGTCCTTATATAAGTCCTTAAAAGGTAGTTATTTGGGGTTAAAGAAGGGCCACCGCCATTTTTGGGCACAGCAGAAACGCGAGCTGAAGCGACCAGCACGCGTCGTCCGAAACCCATGTTGCAGCTTTCTGGGGTTCGCTGTCGTACCGCGCAGCACCGAAGAAAATCAAGCATCTTATGCTCTTGTGCGAGTCTTCCGATGTATGTTGGGTGAAGGCTTCGGTGTGGGTTTGATCAAGAGCTTCAAGTATCTGTAGCAAACTGGCCACTGCGTCATGTACGGAGTACGTAGGATTGGTGCAGAGTGTAGAGCTCTTGGTGGAACTGTGTTGAGTTATTGCATGATTTTTTAATGTTCATGTTGAAATGTTGCTTGATCTTCTAGGACCTTGGAGAGCTTCTACAATGCACTTTCCAAATGTTGGGAGTGGATAGCGGAAACCTCCATTATGAGCCCAGTGAAAACCCCTGCAGCATGACCCCTAAGCTGTAAACCGCCAAACCTGAAACACTTTGAACCACGAAACATGAAAATGCACAGAAGCCATTTATATCATACAAAAAAAATCCTTGAAGCCGAATCCATAAGCCCCAAACCCTGCTGAGGGTTGAGGAATGTTTACCCTAAGCCCTAAGCCCCCCATAAACCCATTAAGCCGTAATTCCCAAAGCCGCAGCAGCCTCAGGATTCTGGACGCGTATTTTCAACGCCTCCCTGCGTTGTGCAGCTCCAAAGCGAGCAAGGCAAGGCTTAGGGTTTACTTGGACGCCCAAGGGACTAATATGGATCCCTGGAAGGAGCCCTTTAAGGACCCTATACTTGGAGGGGCAGGGGACTTAGTAAGTAGGTTATAAGTAGAGTTAGAAGTACCCGAAACGGAGTTAGGCCAATATTATTACCCCCACGTATAAATTATCACCGACTTACTAAGGCCCCTGGGCCTCCCAGAAGGCTTCATGGAAGCTTAAGGACTGAATTTAAATGGGGTGTAGGGTAGGGTTAGGAGCGATTTGAGGTGCGACAACATCGGAGGCTGAGCAAGATGCTTTGGCTACTGAGGGTACTTAAGATTACTTCAGCAAGAAATAACTAGAAATCCTCGAGAAAGACATCTCTCCAGGCGAAAAATCTGATGATAGTACATCACGCACGAAAAACGTCCGAGCTACCGTGCTGGATTTGAAGCGTTTAGCTTGATTCATCTGAATCCTTATTACAAAGATGCAGTAGTACACTAAGTGTGGTAGCCCATTTCGACTGTTCAGCAGACATCCAACGCTCCTTCCGACACCCTCTGAGATTTTTTGTCGTGATCTGAGGCAAAGCTCTGGTAGCTAGGGACCCTGAAGAATTAGTAGACTCGAAACACTGACAGAGTAGGAACTTGGAGATATCTACCCCTCGTTTTTTAGAGCATGGTCGGACATAATGGGCTTACTCAGCAGAAACCCGAAACCATCGGATCCTCCTTGCACAGACCGTACGCCAAATAGGTAGGGATCAGGGTTCAGGTGTTACAACAAGGTTGCATTCTGCTTCATTTGTAGTGCTGAGAAACCTGACACCGTGCGATGTCACAGGTCTCTTGTTTTTAGCCACCATAAACCATCAATCGGACAATCAACAACAACGTTACTGAAGCCAGCCCTGCCCGTCAGCCGCTGCCTGTGGTATATACGGCGATGCACGGTGTGGGTGACTTGCCTGCATTTGCACCAGCAGACGGCCACATACATAAGCAGATTGCGCACAAGAAGGGGCTGAATTGCGACCCAAAGCCCCAAACTCATAGCCCATACTTGCAGGCTTCGCGTTGGATTTTGACTCCAGGGTCTAAGGGCTGGGGTTCGGGTTTTCTTTCCGAACATCTGTGAGCTCCCAGCAACAGTTGCTGCTTTTCTCGGAAGGTTGGAACATAGGTTGGGGATGATCAGTTCTGGGACTCCCTAAAAGTTTATCTAGCGGGCATGAAGATAGTGATGTACCGACTCTCTAACTTCTCCCTTAGGTACGAAGACTACGTAAGATATGTAAAGATTTCGGTTGTAATCACCGGTATGCTTACATCGCGCATGCGAAGTCCCCAGTACCTCTGTCTTAGACGTGTGTGCACGGCCACTGTACGTTCTAACACACCAAAACTTGCCAGAAATTCAGAGAGACCTTCTACGAAATGTTGTAGCAAGCGATGTGAGCCGTTGGCTCCCCTGTTACGCCCTCAACCGCAGCTTACAATCCTAAGCAACAGACCGGAAACAAAGCCCTCAACCCCCAATGCACCGCACAAAACTGGGAATGGCCACGCAGACCCCTCGTAGTCATACTTGGAGGCCCAGGGGACTTAGTAAGTCGGTTATAAGTAGGGTTATAATTGGGGTAACTCCATTTAGGGGACTTATCACTCTACTTATAACCTACTTACTAAGTCCCCTGGGCCTCCAAGTAGAGCCCTCAAAGGAATCCCTGAACCTCCAAAGAGCTTCGGGAAACCCTTGAAGGAGCTTTGGGGAACCCTTTCAAGACTCCTTTTGGGAACCCTTTAAGGACCCCTGAGGAACTCTTTCAGAACCTCTAGGGAACCCTTTAAGGAACCCCTAAGAAGGGAACTCTTTAGGGAGTCCTGCTGGCATCGCAAAATCCTGAGAAGTCCTTTATGGAATCCTTGTAGGAGTCCTTTACTTCGAGGCCCAGGGGACTTAGTCAGGGTTCCTTAAAGGGGATCTATAGGGTTCCTTAAAGGGATCTATGGGGTTTAGGGTATAGGGTCTACTTGGAGGCCCAGGGGACTTAAACAGTAGGTTATGCTAGGACCTAGAGTAGGCCCTTATTCCCTTTTTAAGGGTTCAGGTTCCCTTATAAGCCCCTTTAAACCAAAAAGGGCACGCTTTTTATTCCTAGGTTACTCTTGGGGGTCTAGTATAAGTAGAGTTATAAGTCCCCTAAATGGAGTTACCCCAATACACCCTAAACCCCATAGATCCCTTGAAGGAACCCTATAGATCCCTTTAAGGAGCCCTATACTATACATCCCTTTAAGGAACTTTAGGGAACCCCCAAATCCAGGTTTGCCCTTCGTGCAGCGGGCCTTTGAGGCCGTGGGCCATGGCAAAGCATCGCTTCATCTGGTGGAGGCTTTTGGGGGTTTACTTCTATAAGGGGTTCTACAATCCTAAGGATTGAATATTAGGGGAATTAGGGGTGCCTTTTGGGGCTTAGGGGTTCATCTAAAGGGTACCATAAGGGTTCTATAAGGAATCTATAGGGTTTGCGGGTTCTGGGGTTTACGGTTGAAAATTAGGGGTACTTTTTTTGGGGTGCTTATACAAGGATTCTACTATTTAGGGTACTATATTAAGGTTTAGGGGTCTAGGCATTTGGGGGTTTAGGGATTTGGGGTTCAGGGGTTCTGGGTTTATGTAGGGGTTTAGGGTTCAGGGTTTAGGGCCTCAGGGTACACACGACCCAACAGAAGTTACTATACTGTAGGGGCTTCCACAATGACCAATACGTGCGTGGTGCTTCGTGGTGAGAACTGTAGGAAAAAACGTCTTATTCTAATGATTAGGGCCTCTACAGTACTCGGGTTTAGGATAGTTGTACTGACGAGCGTTTTTGATTGTTAGCTACATGGAGCCTTGGGGTTCCTTTCGGGATCCTTCGAAGGGATACTGAGGATTTCTGAAGAGTATCCGGAGCTCCGGAGTCCCTGGTTAAGAGATCCCTTTAAAGGGATTCCTTACGGGACTCCTTTAAGGGATCCCTGAAGGAATCCCTGTAACGGGATCCTTTCAAGGCTCTCTTAAAGGATGTTTTTTTTTTTTTTTGCGGATTTCTGTACAGATTCCTGTGTGGGTATCCTTGCAGGCTCTGGTGTCCATTAGCGTACAAGATCCTTGAAGGGATGTGCATGCCTTCACAAGGGCTTGATAAAGGATCTACAGGGTTTTGTAAGGGTCTTTCAAGTTTCTGGAGAGGATTATGAGGTTTGTGCTTCGTTTACAATGGTTTGTATGCTTCTTATAGAGACTCATTGGGTTTCGAGGGGTTCCTTCAAAGGATGATCGAAGGTGTATAGTTCTGGTCGTTGGGTTGTTGACTGGGTATGCAGTTCGTTGACGGTCAGGTCGGATCGAAGATCTGGTGCAGCCGGGGCGAGGGTGCAGGGTTTGGGGTTTTACTTTAGGGAGGTAATTGTTTCCGTTTATAATTAGAATGTACCCCCCAAAGCTCTTCGCTAGCTGTTAAATCGCCCAGACTCGGCGCGGACTGTAAACCTTGAACTCCAAACCCAAAGTCTTGAACCCCAAACATCGAGCCTTACCAGCTTTAGAACCTAAGGGGATGTCTGCTGGTAAACTCGAAAACCTTTAAAACCCCTACAGAGAACCCTTAAAGGAACCTGTAAAGGAGCCCGCGTGGAACGCTTGAAGGAACCCCTGAAGCCCTAAAGGTTACGTAAACCCTAAAACCGCAACGTATGTTCTGCAGCTGGGAAAAGGCGTTCAAAAACGAACGTAACGCAACCCTGAGCCCTGAACCCTGAACCGTGGTTTGTAGGTGTTCCGTTTCTTTTGTTGAGGCTCAGTGCGAGCCAGACCCTACGTTCCCCACCGTGGCCTTTCCGAATCCGGAGGCGCTTCCCTTTTGGGACTCTTGGGGTTTCAGGCCTCAAAGCGATCCTTTAAGGGTGCCTTAACCGGCTTCTCAAAGGACTCCGGAAGGGATGATCTATGTGAGTTTGATATTTAGGGTTTTGTATTTAGTTTCGAAGACAGGGTTTAGGTTAGTATGGGGGCGTTGACAAGTAGAATAGGGTTCGTTTACAGGGCTCTAGGATTGACATAGCGTTCCTTGTCGGAGAGCTTGGACCCCAAACTGCACACCCCACATTCAGTCATAATTGCTTAGGCTCGAAACCCCAAACTCCTTTAGGCGCTAAACGCCTGCAGACGGCATTGATCGGTGCAAGCTTCTTTGCGGTAGTGGGTAGTGCCCCAGATTGCAGGCCACATTGAAATGCTGACTGTAACTCACGTATACTGTAATTTAAGGAAATTTGCCTCAAGGGGTGCTCTCCGACATGTTGTTGGTGACAGGTTCCATATCAGTCGTGTAAGTCTGCGAAACGAACAGCTAAAGACACATGTTCAATCAAGTTCCCATCTTCAAGTAAAGCGTTTATGCTAAGGCGCTGGGTAGGTAAAAGTTTCAAAGTGCTAAAGCCCCTAAACCCGAAATTTCCTCAACCGAAGATGCCTATCCCAAACCCCAAAGCCCTATAGCTCGAAAGTTCGTTAGCCACAAATGCCTCTACTTCCCTTTGTGCACAGTGCACAGGAAGGCCAAGGAGCGTTGCAGCTGGCCTTCGAGGACGTTTTGGGTCAAGTTTTGGAGGATGCTCTAGGGGCCTGAATATGTACCTACACTATGGTTTAGGGTTTAGGGTTTAGGGTAGTAGCTATACTATTTTGGGGTTTCCTGATTTTGAATTAGAGTGTACTGGGCCCCAGACCCTATTCTAATTATTCAGGCCCCTACATTAGAGGCTTCATGGATGTTCAGGGTTCAAGACTTTGGGTTTAAAGTTTCGGGTTTGGGTTTTTGAAGGTAGGTACCAGCCCTGTTCAACTCTAGGCCTTACCTCAACCTACCAGAACTTACTGTTTTGTAGGGTTCCAATAAGTTTCAGATTACGGCTGACAAAGAAATCCTGCAAAGCAGTACCTAGTAGTAGAGTAGGCAACCTTTAACCTTTTTTGGGTAGTATAGTCCCTATAGAATCCCTATAGAGCCAAAAAGGTTAACCTTTAGTTCCCCATGATACCCCACAAGTAGGAGTAGGGTGTTGGTAGGTTTTGGTAAGCAAAGCCAGTGGCTCCAGGAGGCGGAGCGCAGCGGATGCCAGCTTGCAACTGAGCTGATATCTGCTTTGCGATATTCGACAGTTGGCACTGTATCTTCGGTATGTTGACATGTATGTATATCTGCATGCATGTATGTTGATATGTGCAGTAATGCAAGACTTTATATAAGGGGGTGCGCAAGGGGGTTACACACACACACATACACACACGCTGTTGCCTGCTAGCATGAGCAGGTATCTAATGCAGCATTTTGGAGATGTCCCACCTTGCATACACTCGCACAGGCGTCATCGATATCGACAGGTAATTATAAACACATGTCCAGGTGTTCCAGTGTGTCGTTCTGTGTGGTTGTGTTTGTGCAGACACCCGCAATAGTAAATGCAGATACGGGTACTTGTCCCTGATTAGTCAGACGATGCTTTCCCGGCGTGCAACAGACAGTTGGTTAGGTTAGATACCTGGATGCATAGACAGGTCGGTGGATAGACAGACAGATGGTTATAGTAGATTGGTAGATGGATGGGGTGAGATATATGTAGAAGCACATAGAGGAAGAGGCAGAAATATTCATTATATATATATATATATATATGTATATATACACTGTAAGATACATATATGTATTTTATGTCAACACACTTGTGTACACATTTTAACTGTATACATAAAACTCCACGAATATGTATGAGTATATACATATATACATAGAGAGAGAGAGAGAGAGTTATGTTATGTATGTACCTGTGCAAGAAAGCAACATATATATATATATAGTTATGCATCGGTACTCAGATAGTTTCAGACTCAGATTGAGATTCCTGAGATCGTGTAGGGCTTACACGTTAAGACCCTGACACCGACGTATCTCTCGCACGGGGTGCACTGAGATATAAGCATACAGGCACTATAGGAGATATTCTTCTTAGTTGTTCAGGCCTCTCGTAGGGTATCACGGAAGCAAGAGGCTTGTGGTTTAGATTCTAGTGCAGAGACCGAAGCACGAAATCCTAGAGAGCTTGGTTGATAACTGAGGCTCCTTGCAACCTTGAGCCCTGAAGCCTACACCTGCGGCCCGCACCCGATGACCCGAAGCCCTGAAGCCCCGAACCTTAAGACCTCCAAAACAGCCCCAATGCCCCAAACCCAAAGACCCTTAAAGTAAAAGCCAGAAAGTTGGAATATGACTATCCTAAACCCTTTATGGTAAATTATAAGGTCTCCTACCCTGAAACCATATTCCAACTTTCTGGAGTTCCCTTTAAGATTCTGGCGAACGACCCGGATGCCGACCGCCTCGCCGTTGCGGAGCGGGAGGAGAAGGACCTGGACATGGGATTTTGGTGGTTTCGGGCAGCCTTGTCCTTTTTCATGGTTCCCCCAAAAGAATAAACAGACCGGCTAGTAGACCTTCTTAAATAATTCCTACTAAGGGATATAGGTATAGGGCTCTGTCTATTGTTTCTAAAAGGACAAGGGTGGTTTCGGGGTTGTCGGTTGTTTAAACTACCTTAAGCCGGAATAACCTACCTTTATTTAAGGTTCCTTGTTATGATTTCTTTATATAAGTCCCTAAAAAGGTAGGTTATTCCGGCCTAAGGTAAGGCTTTGATTCTTGTGTTATTTTTTGTGTTTCGATTAGGGTTCTAGTTCTGAGGAATTTGAAGTTCGTGTGCTGATGATGGCAGCAGTTATTACCGCAGCGAGAAGGATGAGCTAGTTGAGTAATTAGTCGGTTCGTTCGCTCGGTAGATAGATAGATACTCCGAACTTTAAACAGAAAGTTAGGTATGACAGACACAGACGCACACATACATAAATATATATAGAGAGAGAGAGAGGAAATAAAGAGCGAAGGTCATGATCCGGGTTCTAGGAATCAGTGCGGTTTAGTCTTCGGTGCTCAACAATTCTAAACCCTACCCGGAGTTTGGGCTTTTCGGGAGCGGGTTTGTAGATTTTAGGCGTTACGGCTCTTAGGGTTCAAGTAGTGGGGTTTTAGCTATCACAAACGCTTCAGGGGTTTAGGGTGTAAGGCTTTAGGGTTTAGGGTTTAGGGGTTTAGAGGTTTAGGGCTTTTAGTCAAATCCCTTCAGAGGTTTCCAGCTATCACAAACCCCCTCAGCGTAGAATCTTGGGTGCCAGACAAGCCCTGTTCTGTGGAAGCCCTATAAACAGTTTAAAGCCTTATTCATCCCGGTAAGAGCCCGGTTATATCCGCGCTTGGGCCCATCTACAGCATGATTAAGCTGTGGGATTTGTATGAGCTTATCAAAAAGAATTTTGATGTTTGAGCAACTGGTAGCAATGTTCCCATTATAGGCGATGTAAAACAATGTGCCCCTAAAGGTCCATGTGCCCAAACAGTATATACTCGGACCCCAAGGGTACTACAAAGCCGTATTCGGACTGGCAAGGGCTGTGTATTGAACCCATGCAGCCGCTCAGCAATTGAATCATAGAACCCTCGTAAAATTCTATAGGAAACGTTTATAGAACCCTGGTAGGGTTTAGGGTTTAGCCTTTTAGAAGCCCTAAACAATCTGAAAGGAACCCTCGCAAGGCCAATTTTGAACAGGGCATGGGTGTAGGTTTCATGCTCCAGGGGACGTGGAAGATTTTCACCGGCATCCCGTCTTTTGGGGTTTAGGGTTTGGGATTTAGGGGCCTTGGGACTAGGGTTTAGGATTTTAGGGTTTGGGATTTAGGGTTTAGGCTGAGGATTTAGGGTTTCCTATATTGTGTGTCCAGTCTGTTAAGTTGTCGGGCCAAAGTGTATACTAACTATGTAGGCAGGTTCAAGCTGAGGGGTCTTCCACCCCAAGGGTCCAAGTACTTCATAATCATATACTCTCCAAAATCCTAACCTACATAACTACTATCCTAGAACCGAGTACCTAATTATTGGGTCCTTTGGACCCTTGGGGTCAGGGCTCAAACGGGATTTTGCGATGGAGGTTCTGGGACCAATGCTTTTGCCCCGGTCCAAACACCCAAAGTAGAGTTTCAGAGGATTCGCGAAGGGTTATAAGGTTGTATAGCGGTTCTATCGGGGTCCAAGCACCCAGATCGTTGGGCTTACGTACCGGAACCCGTTCAGACTGTAGCAATGTCACCCATTTTGAACCTAGACAAGGAGTTCTCTACGATAGGGGCCTTAATACTTACCCATAGTATTGTGGGAGTTCCTTATCAGAATAAATATAATTCATTAGAGTACTATCTCCCCGAAAACCTTCTTCTGATTAGTAAGGCCCCTACCTTAGCAGCCCTGTCTCGGGAGTTCGTTTCGGGTTCCTGGGGTCCCTTCTGCCCAACCTGTCTTATGTACCTGTATGGTAGAATGTAGGGTTGCTATATTAGGAATTGTTATGATCCAGGGAAGTACCCCCCCCCACATAACAGTACATAGGACCCTTTGGGTGTGAGGGATTCGGTGCTTCAGAGACTCGGCAACCCTACAGACCTTGCAAAATCCACTAGTTGGATTTGTGGATTAGGGTTAAGGGTTACTAGTTGGCTAAATCATAGTGGAGATCTCGCTATAGTATCTGAATACAGTCCTTACGTACGGGATTTTGGAAGGTCTGGGTAGTAGCTTATGCAAGCTGCCTCACTCGCTTGCAGTGCCACCCGCGCTTGTGCGGAAGTACATTCAGCAAGTGCGGCTACAGCCCACAGGGTCCAAGTATTAGTATAGCATATACTTTTGTGGCCCAAATCCCTAAACCCACAAAACCCTACCCTACTAAGTACCTACTCTGATGGTACATGGACCCTTTGGGCAGGAAGGCATGTTGCCGGCTGCACAGATTCTGGGTAAGGAGTCCGAGGAGGCTCCAAAGCTGCCGCGATGGCGATGATACGGTCGTTGATATAAATCCTGCATGACCTTAAGGACCCTAAACTATGGGATTTATGGTATATTCCTTATTATGGGTAATGACCTTAATGACCCCGAGCTGTGGGATTTTTTGGTATATTCCTTATTATGGGTAATGCAGGATTTATATCATCAACCGTGCAGCACGAGCTGGCACTGGCTAGCTAAGCTGGGACTCTGGACGGGACTCGCCAGAGTCGCTGGAGCGGATGGATGCAGGTTCATTCCAAGGTGATGCAGTGGGCCAAAAAGGCCCTTCCAGTCGCCGAGTGCAATGAGCTCATCCAGGTGACACACTTCCGTCCGGGACTGGCTTCCGAGAAGCCGCAGGTGTTGCTGTACAAGACCGACGAGAGGGACGATCTGCATCTCGGGCTAGTCCAGTCCATCTACCCGGGGCCAAGCTGAAGGGCACGGGTGATGTGTCCCGAAAAATGCGTGTGACCAAGCCCGGTTGGGCGAGTCTGCCGGCGACTTCCACGTCGCGGGTGAGGCTGATGCATTTAACGTACATCGACGGTCCGTAGTACTTCACTCGCTGCTTGAGTCCGTTGCTGCTGCTGTTTGGAGTTGCTCCACACTAATTCTTGTCCTGTGGTAACTTGAGCCTTGTTGTGTGGCATTTTACATTTTTACTTATAGCCTATGTTCTATACACATACATACATATATACATATATGTACATATGTATATCAGTATGTACTCTGTATATGCATAGCCCTGGGTATACCCTTAGCTATAAATAGCCCTTAGAGTACCCGTAGCAGCCCCTTAGAATACCCTTAGAAGCCCCTGCCCCTTAGAAAATACCCTTAGAAGCCCCTTGCAATAAATACCCTTAGAAGCCCCTTAGAATACCCTTAGAAGCCCCTTAGAATACCCTTAGAAGCCCCTTAGAATACCCTTAGAAGCCCCTTAGAATACCCTTAGAAGCCCCTTAGAATACCCTTAGAAGCCCCTTAGAATACCCTTAGAAGCCCCTTAGAATACCCTTAGAAGCCCCTTAGAATACCCTTAGAAGCCCCTTAGAATACCCTTAGAAGCCCCTTAGAATACCCTTAGAAGCCCCTTAGAATACCCTTAGAAGCCCCTTAGAATACCCTGATAGGCCATGCTCGGAGTCCCACACAGCACCAGGCCCTCAGCAAGAACCTTTGAGGCCTCAAACCCTGGCCGAGTCCTCCGCTTCTTTTGTCGGGACCCGAAGCCCTATACCCTAAGCCCTAAACCCTAAGCCCTAAACCCTAAACCCTGAACCCTAAACCCTGAACCCTAAACCCTAAACCCTAATTGTCGGGACCCGAAGCCCTATACCCTAAACCTACAAACCCTAAGACCCAGAACCCTAAACAGAATCCTCCCGGTTCTACAGTCGGGAGATACTGAAACTGTAAGCCCCACCTTTGTTAGACTCAGCCCTAGTGTTTCGGCTTTATAAACTCTAGACTCGGCTCTACAATATGACTTCATGGTAGTTCAGGGTGAATCCTAGACCCACCCTGAACGCGGAGAGCAACGCCGCTTAGGCAACGAGCTCGGCACTCTGCTGGGACACTGGACGCCGCTACTCCGCACCCCTTGCTCTGAGGGCGCCCCAATTTTCGGATCTCGATGATCTTGAGCCGCATGCAATTGCATATAAAGGACCGGATCTCCTCCTAATATATTCCTTATTGACGGCCCTATCCCGGTATAGTGTATCATAGTCCCTATCAAGAGAAGGTTTGTTTATTGAGGGGTCTAGGGCTTGGGTTTCTGAGGTCTGATGTACTTTCGTCTACCCGACCAGTCTCCCGAAGAGTAGGTCTTAGAAACCATACCTTGAATGGTTTTTGCTACCTGAATTCCATGTTTTGATCTTTGCAAGTTTAGGACCTCGTATTCTAGGCAAATAACCAAAGGCACACTGATTATTCAGGAACCCTAAATCCCTCAATCCTACACCCCTAAATCCCAAACCCCCAAACCCAAAGCCGAACACGATATCCCAGGCAATATACCTTATCATGGTACGGATTCACCGTGTCGTCTCAGACGTATTTTTTCATAGCAGAACCTTGGACTCGAAACGTTACGCATGGCTCTTGAACATATGGCAAGACCTCATAACATCCACAAGTGAACACCTATTATGAATGAATGCACAGGTAGAAACCGTAATGCTAATCGGATCCGTCGTGCTTAAGAAGCCCGGTAGTTGTAGCTAAAGACGATATATCCCACTAAAGGCTTGATCTACTTAAACGACGACATATCCCAACAAAGGCCCGATCCATTTGAGGTGGAGATGTTGGCGAAAGCGCAACCCGTCCGGTGATGCGAGCAAAGTCTGCATCTCACCTGCACGGTTCTTCGCAAGACCTGAAAGGGTTCCTTGAAGGGTTCTATAAGGTTAGTAAAGGCGTTGTCTATGAGTTCTATATGAGGGTTTCCCAAAATAGGGGACCCAAATACAGTACCCTAAACATTAGGATGCTTATTATACGGACCCCAAAATATAAGGTACCCCTAATTTTCGGAAACTCCCATATAATATATAAGTTTCGGGCTTCCCCGGGTTTCGGTACCTTTGGAGATATAGAGAGTGGAATTAGGGCTTCAGGTTTGTGGAACTTTCGGGATAGGGTGTTGGGCTGTGTTTAAGTATAAGTGTTCCTCTAGGGTTCCTTTGGGATTTTTAGGGCATGAGGGATTCAGAGGGTTTTGTGTTTTGGCTTCAGGGTTTTGGGCTAAGGGCATCCTATTACGGGCCCGAGTGATCTTGACTTTTAGGCCCACCAAGTACAGGCCCAAGGTCCCCCAACAAAGAGTCCTGGGTCCCTCAGGTGTTTACTCATCTGCTTCCTTTTATTCGTTCAAGGTGTATACGTTTTGGGCGGGGTGTTTTTGAGAGACAAGTATGCGGAAACGCTGGAAGAAGTGCTGCAGGGAGAGCCGGATTAATTGCAAGAGTGCACAAAGAAGCAACGTTTAAACCCTAAACCCCGAAACCCTAAACCCGGCAGCTAGGCTTTGCCGGCATCAGAGCAAAAGGTCTGGGGCGAGGCCCTTGCCGTCCCTCAAGTACCTGTTGCTGCCCAGTCGCGATTGCACAAGGCACAATACTATTCACAAGCTGAAGAGAGACATGGAAGTGCACGGGGAAAGCGGGCGAGAGAGCCGTCGCGCAAATGCCCGTAGCTGACGAGGGCTGCAGCAAGATCGGCGAGTTCGAGCTGGGGAAAGAAGCATTGTGGACTAGACAAGAATCTGGCGCTACTCCAGCGACACACGTTCGCCTCAAGTACCATTATAGGGGCCTAAACAATTACCAATACTATTTTCGCGTGTTCCTGATTAGAGTTATAATATAGTATACCCCACAGCCCTAGTCTAATTGACTAACCCAAAGGGTCCAAAATACCTGTATAGTAGAATGTAGGGTTTCTATGTTATAGGAATTACTATAATGATTCGGGGAAGTGGGGAAGTATCCCCCATAACGATACCTAGGACGGTTAAGGCTCCTACATGATACAGCTCTGGCCACCCGGGATGCGAGAGGAGCAGACTGCTGTGACACGGGGAGCCATGACGCGCTGAACTTGGAAACTGTTCCAACACCTCAACTCCCCTGACCCTATGAGCCTAATACTGGGGCCTCAACTATTGAAATGGCAGGTTGATGTATCTTACCGGTTACGGCAGTGCATGAGCATGGGACTGAAAGGTGACATTGCTATCTGACATTGGTTTTTCGTACATATATATATATATATATGTGTCTGCAATCGCTACACACTAAGCCCTTGCCAGCTTTAATGCCACAAGGCTTAGAGCGATTAAAGAGCCTATACACCCCCCTGATGCTGATGCCGTAAGCCTGACTTACTAAGTCCCCTGCCCCTCCAAGTAAACTGCGAAGAATCCTGTACAGTTTGAAACCTCACAGGAATCCATGCAACACAACGTCGCAACACCCTGCTCCGTCGCTTCGCAGGTATGGTGGCCAGCGCTGTGTCATCGAAGTTCTTGTGGCCCGACATTGGCTTACTGTTTATGGTATACCTTAACCCTGAATAACCTACCTTTCTAGGGTTCCCTATTATGATTTCCTTTTATAAGTCCTTAAACAGGTAGGTTCTTCAGGGTCAAGGTAGGGTTCAGGATTGTTGACCACGTCATTTGGACCAACTTGTCATGGCAAAATATGTCGCTCACGTCCTGGTACTGCCCTTAGTTGACCCGAACCCTATTCAGTTTGACTATCAATCAAGGGTGCCTGCTCATATTATGCTATCAACATGCCACCCATGCCCCATGCGTTACCAAGGAGCTGGCCCAAAGCCCTTCACTCTAAACTACCTGCACGCGGTGTTTCTTCCAGAACCCTTTGACAAGGAATTCTATCTTAAGCTATAGTCGGATCCCCAATATGATTTAAGGTTTGCTCCTTATCTTGAACTATAGTAGGATCTCTTATTAATATGATTTAAGGTAAGCTCCCTGTTTTAAGATATAATAGGATGGTCTAGGGTCCAGGGTTTCGGGTGCACTTTTCAAACCCTACACGCTGCATTCAAACACCGAAGCTGCAGTCGGCATCCTGGGAACCCCAATAAAAGCCTCATCGAACGCTTGTAGAAACCTTACAGAACCCTTGTGCATCCCCTGTACCTTCAGCCCTACATTCCCAGGCCGCAAACACCCCAAAGGCCTAACTTGTAGACCCTGAACCCTGCATCGCACGAACCCAAAGCCCACAGCCAATACCCTTGACGAAGACCCCCTCTAAACCTGCCCTAAAGCTTAAAACCGTAAACGCCTAGACCCTCAAAGCCTAAACCACTCAGTGATGCCCCCTGAAGCCTAAAACCCTGAACACCCACACCCTCAAAGCCTAAACCCCTCACCGATCCAGGAAGACTCTTGCCGAGAAGGAAGGCTTTCGCTTCGTAGAGACGCTCACGGGCTTCAAGTGGTGCCTTTGTTTTGAAAGGCTCAGGGTTTTGGGGTTTAGGGCTTAGGGTTTAGGGCTCCTTTAAAGGGATCTATAAGGGTTCTATAAAGGGTTTAGGGTTTTGGGGTTTTGGGGTTTAGGGCTTAGGGTTCAGGGCTTCGGGCTAAGGATTAGGAAATTCGCATGAGGATCGTAGAAACCTTAGTAAGTGTCTGTGTCAATTAGCAGAGTGAGCTATCAAGTAGCTTGCATATGCTTAATGTGCCCTAAACCCTAAACGGCCCGAAACCCTAGTATTTGGCACTTCTGCCCCCAGCGTTTGGGCTTCAAGTTTCCACCAGCTCTTGTTCAGGGCTTAGGGCTTAGCAACGGGTTTCAGTTTGTGTCCTGTCAAGGCTTTTCGGTCGAATATCATTAGTACTGGTACCCGGAGTACGACCATAATTAAACTGTCACAGGAGGCCTATGTCTGGGTGTCGCGTGGGGCTCCCATACTTTCCCCTTCCCTGCCGGGAGCCGAAGCGTCAGCTTGTGGAAAACGAGCCTAGCTGACATCAAGTTTTGAACCCCAGTCGCTTAATGCTCTGGTCAGGGCCCTAGTTGATTGTTGATTTCCAAGCTAGTCATGCCCAGTCTAGAAGGTCCAATTTCGCAGCTGGCAAGATGATAAGCTACTCTTAGTCGTTACATCATATCTAAATCGTTACAACTGTGAAATGAAAGGTGGTTTGTGTGATCTAATCCTCACAATCATGAGTACCTGGGCTTTTTTGCAAAGCTTCGACCGCTTCATGGTAAGGATGGGATCGAAATCTGCTGAGTTGCGCGCCGAGGGCTACGAAGCCGCTCTTCCAGGTCTTTTTGTTTGGTTCAATGTTTCAGTCTGTGCGACTCTCCGAATTCATGTTGCTGCTTAGTTCGCGTGGTTAGATTATTGTTTTTTTTTGTTTTTTAGGTTGGGCATTCGGGTTTCTACTGCTGATGGGCAAATCTGGTTATAAGGTGAAAACTCGCATACATATGACATGATGGGGTTTTCTGATCGATCGAGGTAGTGTAGGATGTCGTCCGTCAACCCCGAAGAGGGGTTTCAGGGTTCGGGGTTGTGCTTGCGCTGCCCCATGATTATGCTCAACAGAGGAAGATCTCTGAGAATAAGGTAAATTCAAAACCTTCAAAAGAAAGCGCGGGTATGCCCAGCATGTTCCGTTTGTTATTTGGTGCTGGGACTTTGAGACCATGATTTGGAATTATGAATGTCGGGTTGGCAGAGAGTTGTCATGTGTACAGTTTTTGTTTGGACTGGGTGTTAAGGCCTTCTGGAACATCCAAAGCCTTCAAACACATATCATCCCCAAATTCCAACATAAAGCGGCTCTTTGCGAGGCGGGGACCCGGAATAGTAGGATTCCGACAAAGATGTGCAAAAGCATCGTTTATGCGCGTTTCCAAAGTCGCATGGGACACTGTATACACCCGTTGAAAGACCATATAAGACCTTATAGAAGCCCTGTTGAACCGCTTCAGCGGGTATGCGCAGAAGTGCTAAACGGTAAACTGTAAGCTCAGTAGACCCACTGATGAAATCTAAAACGCTTCATCCGCAATGCCCATAAAACCGTACACCCTAGAGCATTCAATCCCCAAACCTTTAAACCTTGAGCCTCTGTATACATGCCTAAAGCGAATCAAGACCTGGAACATGGAACCCCATAGAAAACCATAATCCTGCCTATAAACCCCAAACCCCTAAACCCCTGAACCCCTAAACCCTAAACCATAAACCCAAATCCCCGCAGTGGCTCAAGAGGTGATTTTTTCATACGAGGAGGCCATCGGCTTCTGTGTCGGGGACATGGTGAAAGACAAGGAGCCGCTCGCGGGGCATGGGGTGCAAACGGGTACAACCCTAAACCCTATGCCCTGAGCTGGAAGCTCGACCCAGACACCCCAACTACCCCTTATTGGAATCTCAAAAGCTCTCTTAATGAGAAATATCAGAACACTAATTAAAGGGTCCTTAGGGGGTCCTGGGAAACCCGAAACCCTAAAAGCCCTAAATCTTGAAAACATTGAAATCCCTACAGATCCTTTACAGGCTACAATACCGGATAGTTGTGGGGTCCGGGCAACCCTAAACCATGCTGTTCATGGACAAAATCCCGCATGACCCTAAGGACTCTAAACTATAGGAATCATGGTATATTCCTCATAATGGGTAATGCAGGATTTTGTCCATCAGCAGCAACGGGATTCAAGAGTCCGTGTCAGTGTTCCCCACAGGGAGGTCTTTAGGCGGCTTCGGGGTTAGGGATCTTTTGTGGTTCGGGGTTTGAACGTTGGGGAACCTAGAGACTCCAATACCGCTTAATTAAGGGATATACCTTAAATTATAGTAGGATCCTTAATATGATTTAAGGAATTTTCCTTAAGGGATATTGGAGTCTCGGGGAAATCTACTGTTTCCGGCGTTCTGGGCTTGCAGGGCTCCGGTGGCTTCTAGGCTTACCTTAACCCCAAGAAACCTACCTTTTCAAGACTTATATAAAGAAATCATATTAGGGAACCCTAAAACGGTAGGTTCCTTAGGGTCATTCATATTAGGGAACCCTAAAAAGGTAGGTTCCTTAGGGTCCAGGAAAAGGAGGCAAACAGTCCCCGTAACCAGCGGATCGGTATTGATTTCCACAGGCTTAGCCTGCTGCCCGATCATTCCGAACTCCTAATCCCAAAATCCCAAACCTGATCACCAATCCCTATACCCTATGAACCCTAAGCCTTCAACCCTAAGCCTAAGCCTTCCGTAGACCCCCAACTACCTTTTACTGTAGCCCCTTGATAAGTTCTTCATCAGAAATATCAGAGCTCTCTAAAGGGTGTTTGACAGGTCCTGGTAAACCCTTAGCCCGCAAAACCCTAAGCGCCCTAAGCCCTAAAACCTCTCAAATCCCTGTCGATCCTTTATTGATCCCTTAGGAGTCTTATAAACCCTAAACCCTAAACCTCTATATCCGCAACCCCTGTGCCCTAAACCCCTAAACCCTACACCGCTAAACCCTAAACCCTACACCCTTCACTCAAACTCTAACCCTAAACTCTGAACTCTAAACCCTAAGCTTTAAACCCTAAACCCTACACTCTAAACCTTAAACCCTAAACTCGGATCGTAGTAGTCCCAGCGAGCCCGTGAGGATGGCATCTGCGCGGCATCCGTTTTCGTAGACATGGCCAAAGATCTTCGTGAGGTCGGGCCGGTTTGCCCAAAGGGTCCTACTGTTGATGATATAAATCCTGCATTACCTTAAGGACCCTAAACTATGGGAATGATGGCATATTCCTTATTATGGGTATTGCAGGATTTATATCATCAACCGTATGTAGTGTTGTGGGGGGGGGGGGGGTACTTCCCTGGATCATAATAACAAGTCCTAATACAGAAACCCTGCATTCTACCATACGGGTACATAGGACCCTTTGGGTTGGGTTTCATGACCATAGGGGCCTAAGGAGCTACGTATAATAGTGTTTGGGTGGGTTCCTTCTTATATCTGTAGTATAATGGGCCCCAAGACCCTATTCTAATTATTGAGGCCCTCATATTATGGGGTTGTTTGGGGCTTTGTTGTGTTTAGGGTGGAGGGTTTGGGGTTTGGCGCGAAGAGCTGGGAAGTTGCTTGAAACTCGGCTTCAGGCTTCATGTCCGTTAATTAGTTTTTTTTTCGAAGGTTTGGGATTGGAGGTAGTGGTGGCACAGCTTGAGAGAAAGGCTTCTTGCAGGATCGGGAGCCCTAGGAAGGGGTGGGCCGGAATAACTACCAATATTCCTTGGGCAACAGTCGTCATGGATGGATGGAGGTGATGCAGGATCTGGGGAATTGAAACAAGCGTTTTCTTAAAGCATAACCCCAAAATCCTAAAACTTTCCTAAAACCCTAAACCCTATAAACCCTACGCCCTACACCTGAATTCATTTCCCCCAAAATTCCAAAACCTTAAAACAAAAAGTCACCAACGGCTCCTTGCACAGGCTGGGCGGAGTTGCCAGCAGCATCTTCAACAGCTGTACATCGCACCCTGGAATGGACTGACGATTTATGGTTGAGGGTTTCGGGGTTTAGGGGTTTAAGGTTTAGGGTTCAGGGTTTAGGGTTGAGCGTATAGGCTCAATGGTAGTTCCTTTGTGGGATTACCTTGTAGGTTTCTAAATATGAACTCCAACAAGAACTACTATGGAGCCGAGGGTTATTTTACAAAGCAACCCTTAATGGGGACAATGGGCTATATAATGGGTATATAATAGCTATATTATAAAGGTATATACCTAGGGGTCCTTATTAAGGGTCCCTCCTTTTACCCTTGGATTTCGGGTTTGGGGTTTAGGATTTTTGGTGCAGGCTTCGAGCCGCGCTGCCGGAAGTTTCCTTGAGCCATATAAATGTGAATCTCAGGCGCCGGAACTGGGGGTAGGGGGAGGGGGGGTAGGGGGCCGTAATGCCCATAACAAGGACTTCATAAGGCCTACTTAAGGAAGTATAGTCCCCTACCCGACTCCCCCTTACCCCCATAAGGGTCCCTATGACGCAAGTCAATGATGTCAGGACCTCGCAGGCTAGTTCTCTAAATGGGGATCTCTTGCTAATTAGAAGATAATTGTGCGAGGATTTGGGCCCCACTCAACTACAACCATATCAAAGGAACCCCAAGGAAAGGGTCCAAATGGACTTCATAATTAGCTACTTAGGTTTCAAACAGTAGTATGAGTTATGTAGGTTTCTATTTGGAGGGTATGTCATTATTATGTACTAAGACCCTTAGGGTAATGTCGGGAGCTCAATAGTCAGAAGATTTGATGCTACTCAGTGGGTTCCGTTTTTGGTTCCCAAGCCCCTTCCTCACCCGTAGACCCTATAAACCCTAAACCCATCCAAGGACTACGGTATCTTCTTGTCCATGAACAGCTACGTCAAGTCGCCGGATCCGGCGCTAACGAAGCTCGGTGCGCAAGCAACAGCCCTAAACCCTAAACCCTAAATCCTAAACCCTAAACCCCTAAACCCTAAACCCTAAACCCTGCAATATCAGACCACAGTTCCCAAGGCCTTAGATGCAAACCCAGACCCGAAAGACTTACAGACCTTGTGACTCTAGACCGTAAGCCCTAAACCCACCACGAGGCCTAAGCCCTTACACCCCAAACTTCAGCTCCCAATTGCCCATTGCTCGTGGGTGCTTGAGCTTTAAGGGTTTAGGGTTTAAGGTTTGGGGATTAGGGCAGTATCCTGGGTTGGAAACGTCTCGGGTCTTCCTATAAGTCGAAGCACTATGGGAGTTTTGTTTTTCGCTTTGTGGAAGTGAGAACATCCCTAAACCCTAATCTCGAAGAAAAGGGGCCAGCGACCGGTTCGTCTCACCCGGGATGGCAAGACGGCTGAGGATAAGCCCAAGGGTCTTGTTATTCATATACTCTCCAAAATCCTAACCTACATATCTACTGTCCTAAATCCGAGGGATACCCGTAGGCCCCATAGTAGTTCTTTTGGGGGGTTCTGATAAGGTAATCCCACAAGGGAACTACTATGGGGCTATGGGGCCTATGGGTAAACCCCTAAAACCCCTAAAACCCTTAACCCCCTAACCCCCTAAAAACTTAAACCCTAAACCCCTAATCTCGATACCCTAAGCCTATAAACCCTCAACCGGAGCACCTAATTACTGGGTCCTTTGGACCCTTGGGGGTAGTGCCCGGAATGGACCCCCAGAGCATCAGAGTCAGGAGGCGCATCTTCGCTGCCCAGCGACCGGAGGGCAAGTACTTCCAGAAGGCGACGCAAGCAAAAAGACTTTTATGGTTTAGGGCTATAAGATTCAACTAAACCCGAAACCTTGTCTTCGGCAGCACTGCTTAACATGTGTATGGAACTGTTGGGTGACTGTGTTCTTATGATTTGACGGAGAGGGTTGAGGGTTTTGCAGGTTTGGTGGAGTTTAACTACTGGTTTCGTTGATGCGGACATCAGCTTAATTGTAACCGTCGGACGTTTCAGCAGCCCTTGAGGGATACATACACGCGGAGTCCAGAGTTTAGTTCTCAAAACCAACCCATCCTTACGCCTACATCACATCCTATGCCCTGATGTTGAGGAACTTTGGAGCTTGAACTCTAAATCAACCTTCTCGACAAGTGCCAAGAGGAACAGCTACAACCACAGCAGGAGGTTATGCAAAGAGAACTAAACTTTCTTCCCAAGTATAGTAGATACTTAAGCCGTAAAGGGGTCCCTATATAGGTACTTTAAGGCCTAAGTATATACTATATGGGTACACTACACGTGAGTTTCCGAAGTTTAGGGGTACCTCAATTTGGGGCACTTAGAATAAGGATCCCAATATTTCGGGTATTAGATTAAGGTCCTCTATTTTCGGGAACTCCCACACTGTTCTTCCGAGGTTGCCGACTTCGCCATCTCGGATGTTCGGGCCTGGACCTCTGTTTCTGTGCACGGCGGTTCGTTGTTCGGGGTTCCTTACGACCAGAACCGTGCTGTTTGGGGTTCTGGGTGTGTGGTCTAAGTGTTGTTTTGTGATGTTCAGGTTTACCTTTCGGGTCATACCATAGCAGTTGTTTAGGTTAAGAGTCCATCACAGCTATCAACCAAAACATTAATACACAAACAGGGTTGAGAGTTCAGGGTTTACTATATGTGGTGCCCTTTTTTGGTATAGACACCTTGATAACTACTAAGGTGATATCGCAAGTGCAGTATCGTTAAAGCACAATGCACTACCAAAAAGAACGAAAAGGAACGTTTCCATCTGTCCTGCTGGTGTACACACATTGAAGATCACAAGTTGTCCTTCCGTGTGTCTAACATTGGGTTCGGAATGGTTACTATGTAGTTCCTCTATGTTTCGATTAGAATATACCCCAAGCCCTTATTCTGATTATTATATTAAGGCCTTTACAGATACTGCCTAGGAAGATTCCTTCTAGAAGCCCAAAGAAGGAGCCCTTTGGAAGCCTATGGCACCCGAGCTAAGCAGGCTGTATGACAGGGAGACCCGTACATGTGGCACTCTTCGGGGCAGTGAGCTGAGTTGATTCGGAGAGAATTGCGCTCTTTCTTCCTACCTAGAGGGTCCATCTATACTACTATTATGGAATTAGAGGTTAGGCCTCCGGAGCCATAATGAGAATGGTCTTTTGGTGCCCAATCCCATACTGGTAGTATATATGGACCCCCTGGGGCTACATGACATCAGGATAGACTGGGCGGATCATGCAACAAGCACAGACCGTTTCCGGTGCTGTCATTGCTCCTATCACGAGACAGTGGGTTGTGCTTGGCCCCCACAAGCTCAAGAAGACTAAACCCCTAAACCCAAAACCCTATACCCTAAACCCAAAGCCCTAAACCCCTAAACCGCAAAACCAAAAACCGTAAACCCCTAAACCCCAAACCCTAAACCGTAAACCCCTAAGCCCTGACTTTAAACTCAAAAGTCTCGAAGATGCAACTCGTCAAAAGCTCAAAAGCCTGGTGGTTCCGGACGTTAAGCAGGAGCTCCGAGCTTAAAACCTACAGAACTCCCCTCACCTATGGGGTTTAGGGGTTAGGGTTAGTCCCTAAGCGGCCATGGGTGGCATTACTTCAACTAGAAGGCAGACATGCGGAACATGGTCATCCCTGGGATAGAGAGTCAAAGCATTAGTAAGTCATGCCTTTCCGCTTATGCCATGTTCCATCTTCCCGGAGTTGATTAGAACTCCCCCAATTACCCTTAATTGTAGCCCCCAGTTACCTCTTCATGAGAATGATCAGAGCCCTATAACTACAAGGGGTAGTTACTTGGGGTGTCTTGGTTTGCTACAATACTTACTCAGACCTGAAGTGTAACTGGAACTCTGACGCATTGGCCACTGAGGACCTCACAGTCGGCTACGATAGCCGCTGCAAGGACGATTTTTCCGTTCGGGGTTTCTGGGGTATCGAGCTCAAGGTTTCGTCTTGAGGGATTTAGGGTTTGTGGCTTAGGGTTTAGAGGATTTCGGATTTGATTCAGGATTGCTTTGAAAGCGTGCGTGCTCGACTAATTTTCGGGTTCAGGTTTCTTTCCCAGAAGACAAGAGTTTGTGTTATGTCAGCTGGAGTTCAGGGCTCGAGGGTTCCGTAGAGCCTGTTTTTTACACCCAGGTGTAGCAAAAATTGCCCAACATATGTATCGACAGTTGCTATGTTTACCCCAACAGCCTATTCTAGTTGTTAAGGCCCCGATATTACCAGCGGCTGGAGCCCAAGGTGAAAGCCCATTGTGCATGGCTCGGCGAAGACGCCCGCCCAGAAGAAGACGCCTGCTCAGCTTGCTCTTGGTGCACTGCCTCCGTGGAGACCATCATGGTGGCTTCGATCGACTTCCGCGGAATACGGCGTGAGGAACCATGAGGAGCCACATCTACCACCATCGTTTTGCTCCCCGCCCTCACAGCTGTTTATGCCTTTTGCCAACAGGGTCCATATGACAACTGCGGTTCCTTCAACTCAGCTACCTGGGGGTCTCTTTGACCCTACTTTGTGTGGTCTGTGGTCTTTCAGCCAAATGAGCGTGAAAAGTCTATATGACCATGAAAGGGCAAAATCGTGAATTCACGGAGGGGTTGTGAATTTCACGCCAGGTGTTTCACAGATTTAGCTTGCATCATGGGGTCAAAGAACGGATATATTGAAGAAACTGGACGACATATCCGATTGTAAAGTGTTGGCTCAGAAAACTGGCTCAAATAGTATCGGAAAACTCGTGGCTCAAGTTTGGCTCAAATTGATCTCTCGAGCGAAAAAGGGTTGAAACATATGCCTAATTGAGAAACCTTAATCACGTAAGCCTATAATCCTAACCACCTTAAAACCCTTACATTCGCAGGAGTTCAGGCCACCCGCCATGGCCGAAGAATTCACGGGAACTTTCGAACATCCCACAGCCCAAACTTAATTAACCAAGCCTTTGCCCAAGCTTCTACCCAGGTGGCCGCTGGACGGTGAAGTAGAATATGACTCTATGACACATATATCTATTTTGCTGGAATATATGCATACGTCCATACCCATGTCGATTAAACGTGACATAGGGCAAGGCAGCGACTAGGATTTCCATGTCCGGCCTATATGTTCTCATGACTTAATACATAAAGGCTTGTAGATGGATGGGTGCATAACTAAGCTGATGGACCCCTTAATCTATGCATATGTATGTATGTGCATATATATATATATATATAGTATATGTGTGTGTGTGTGTGTGTGTCTGTGTGTATTTTTTGTGTAGATCTCTGCGAATGTAGACAAGTAAATAGATAGATATTGGCCACAGGTATATACAAGTGTTTACCATTGTCTACCTATCGAATCAGTAGGTAGACAATTGTAAACACTTGTTTTGGGGTGTACATAATTTCAGTATTTCTATGCCTGTATACATATACATGCAGTTAGATAGGTACACATAGGTACAGATCCATGTATAGATATGTATATAGATAGATCTTTTGATATAGCTATCGGTACAGGTATAGACTAGTCTAAAATCTGGGGTACACACGTATACATATATATATATATATATATATATATGCGTGTATATTCGCCAATGTGCTGCCAGTCTGTGCATATGCATATCTGTTTCAGCACATGTGTATATATACACATGTGTGTGTAATATTACGTGTTGATAAACAAATATATATGTATACATATATATATATATATGTTTATGTGTGTGTGTATATATATATATATGGATATACCCATACTACGCAAAGACTATACGCAAATACATAGTGCCTGTCCATGCTTACACACGTGCAAGCATTACCGTGTTTCTGTTGGCCTTAGTGTATGTGTATGTGCATACACACACGTACATGAACATGCATACGACCTAGATCATGACGATGATGATGCTGATGCTAGCGAAGATGATGATGAAGATATGTGTCAAGTGCATGTTTGCCTGCATGTGATTGCACAGGAACATATGTGCCTGTGTGCGAAGGTCATGGCTCTGCTTATAAAAGCACTACTTGGACACTACGTTATCAGCATAGCTGCTTCCGAACACATATGCACGTGCACACATGCTTGGGTGCACAGGTGCAAAATTCTGACGGCACAACAACTCAAAGCTGGAAGCATTATAATCGGCATATCTGTCTATGCGAAGTGAAACGTAAGCACATCATGTGGACATACGCCGCCATATCTAGCACACATATACTGAAAACTCAATCTTAAGTATATGCAGATCAAGAAATAGATCTGTGTCTTTATACATACATATACCTATAGACACATGTAGTGGTAATCGACAATGTCGCCGGCGATGTTGGCATCCAGATTCCTCCCGAGGTGCTACGGGGCCGGGAAGATTGAAAGGTTTTAAGGGTCCCCCATGGTACCTAGCTAAATCGTGGAAGGTTCACACGCTAGGGGTTGGTGAACGTTTATTTTGTTTGAGTAAAAATATTCAAGATGCAGACTTAAACCTCCACCCGGAAGCACAACTATATTCGAGTTGGTTTGTAGTAAATGAAGGTAGAAGTGCACTAAAAGACTTCTCCTACCGAACATTGTATAGGGATGCTCAATTTGGGAAGACAGGGTACGGGACATATATCGACCCCATTAAGCCTGGGCTGGGCTTTGCAATTTTGCACCTTATGTGTTGCACTGGGGGACTTACTGAATCGTGGGGGCTTCAGGTATGCATGTCTTGCCTTGAGCTATAGACCAAAGACCCAGTCATGTAGCCTTGCCAAAACACGACCATCCTTTGCACAGGTGCTTTAGCTGGATGCTTCTGCTCGAATGCATGTCGAATGGTGCGCCTGGCACACATTGTATATGGGCATATATGTGTACACTCAGTTTCAAGGTGTTGTTAGAAGCACTCTACGCCAGGCGCTCCGAGGATTACGACGCGACACATCGCTGATCGGAGGAGGTGGCCCTACCCGCCATGCTTCTGGCTGCGGCTTAGGGTTTCAAGCTAGAGGGCTGATTAAGGAATTAGAGAGGCTAGGGTTTGTGGATAACTATGTTATAAACCGAGGAAGTAACTAGCTAAGCAACTATAAATACCAACTTACCTACTTACCAACCTACCTACCTAGTTACATACCCACCTAACTACCTACCTACCTACCCACCCACCCAACTATAACTATAGTAACTGGCTAACTGATGCTTAGGCAAATAACGAAATATACTGGCTAACTAACGAACTACTGAAGCATTCATTTCTAGATCGTGGGTTAAGAAAGGTGGCAAGTATTTCCGACTTTCGATAAAGCCTTGTAAACTACTGTGGTTCGCTGTATACCGGGTCGATGAATGTTTTACGCTTAGTGGGGTGTTATTTGCCACTGCAGCTCTCTCTCTCTCTCTCTCTCTCTATGTGTCTGTGCTTTGCACTCCGAATGTGATCGCGGGCTGCATCTGAACATGCAGGCATATCGTCAGCTGCAGAAGTGCAGTCTTTGTGTAACTACATCGTGCGTGGCCTTCAAAGTTTTCAGAGCTCACCTTACATGTTGCAACACGAACGGCTGTGATTTAGATCGTACCCATACTTTTAAGCAACCCAAGCTTGCTACCTTCGCAAAATGCCAACCGTCATCGATCCGGACCTCGTCCAAAAGCTCGCCAACTCCTTCGCTGGGCAGCCGGCCTTGAAGGATGCTGCTCGGATAATGGGATTTGAGTGGTCTTTGACTGTCGGTCCCCGGATGTGCTAGCTCAGGCAGGCTTCAGCTTTGTTGTCGACCACTCTGGAAAGCTGTTCAAGGGCAAGCGATGCACGCTGAAAGATTTGGTTCATAACCCTGATGTCGCTTGGCAAAAGAGCAGAAAACCCTATGCATCGATCTTGGCATGGAGTAGTCCATCGGAACACAATATCTAAGGTCATCGTTGCTACCATGCAAGCCGTACAGAAATCCAGACAGAGTTCCTTCATCATCAAAGAAGGCATCCTTCTGTTTTATGATGACAACAAGTTGTGGCCTCGTGGCTTGAATTCCCGAATGGAGTGTATTCAAGATTGGGCTCTGATGATGGGTGATGCCATCAAGCGATTGGCTGCTTATCTGAAACGGTCTGAGGCGTCACAGATACTTAGCCTAGTCTATCATGGATTCTCACGATTTACTTAGTGTATGTCTTAGGTCGGGAGGATGCGTCGACTGATGAAGCGGTCTGGCAGCAGCAAGCTCAAGAAGCTGACTGGTTTGCGGAAACGGGTATCCGCTCTGAATATCCCAGGGTTGGATGCTCGGTACAGTTTACCATTCCACAACTTGGTCTGCCCCTTTGTCTACGCTCAATGATGAAAGTATATATTGGGCTTTAAGGTGGGGTTCACGTTGTTTGTTGAGGGCCCCTGGCTTCGGGTTTGCATCAAATTTTTCAATAGGCTCCTGCAGGGCTGAAGTTTGGAGGCTTTACATATATCTAGATCTGTAGAGATCAAACCCAATTGGTATAACAATACCCGACAAGTTTTAACTAAAGTTCGCTGTTGAATGGAAACGGCCAAAGACCTGCCTGATCTACGCAAAGCTGCCCCTCCATATACTATGCCTACGCCCAGGAAGGGCCACCAGATGAAGGAGAACAAGATTCCGATTCCGAAGCGGATGATGATGACACCGGGGCCTCCTCTCTTTCAGGGAGTAGCACATGGAGCGGGTTTTCGTCGGCATCCCTGTCGAGCAAGGATTCGGTGATGAGCCGGCTGTGCCAGCAGTTTTCGGATATTCGGTTGTACAACAAGGAAGCTGGGAGTCCTACAACTTTCAAGTTCAAACCTGCAGCTTCGAACGCGAAGGTGGTTCCAGGCTACGTTTCTAGTTCGATCATCCTAGAAGGTATGTGCAGCTAGATGGCAATTGCATGTATTGTCCCGGT